TTCCATCCCTGGGTTGATAAGATCCCCTGGAGAAGGGAATGGCTACCCACTCCAGTATTCTTGCCTGGAGAACCCCAAGGACAGAGGAGACTGATGGGCTACAGTCCATGGGGTCCCAAAGAGTTGGACACAACTGAATGACTAACACTATTAACTATTTACATTACATTAGATATTGTAGGTAATTTACAAATGGTTTAAAGTACATGGGAAAATTATAAGCAAAAACTACATTTTATATAAGGAACTTGAGCATGTGCAGACTGCAGTATCTGTGGGGGTCCTGGAACCAAACCCCTAAAAATACTGATGGGCCACTGTACTACCACACAGGAGTGGTGAAGGGGTCAGACCCAGAAGCCCAGATGGCCTTGATTCACACCAGTTCCCTGTCTCTTTATACAACTGTTGGTGATTTAATGAGTTAATATATATGAGGGTGGCTTGTACACAGAACATGGTCATAAAATGCTCATTACTTATCAACCAAGGGTGGATTCCTTCAGCCCAATGCCAGCTGATCCAATCATCAAGTTCATACTATGGCTGTTGCCTTCAATAAAACATATACATGACCATATGTAAAATGGATAGCCCGTTAAGAGTTTGATGTATGATGCAGGGTACCCAAGGCCAGTGCTCTGTGACAACCTGGAGGGAGGTGGGAAGGGAGATAAGGATGTATACCTATGGCCAATTCATATTTATGTATGGCAAAAACAATCACAATACTGTAAAGGAATCTTCCTCCAATTAAATTGAAACCCCCCCCCCCAAACAAGCTTACCTATAGGGACTCCCCTTGTGGTCTGGTGGTTAAGAATTTATCTGCCGATGCAAGGGACACGGATTCGATCCGATCTGGGAAGATCCAATTTGCTGCAGAGAAACTATGCCCCGTGCGCCAAAGACTGAGCCTCCATGCTGCAATTACGGAAGCTTGCATAATCTAGAGCCCGCGCTCTGCAACAAGAGAAGCCACAGTAATGCGAAGCCCGCAAACCACAGTGAGAGAGTAGCTCTCACTCTCTACTAGAGAAACTCTAGCTAGTGTGGTAATAACGACCCAGTGCAGCCAAAAATCAATGAATAAATAGGGCCTATTTATCTTTCTTTAGCACCTCAGTAACAACACGGTGAAGTGTATTTTACCAAACCCGGAGGTTACAAAATGTGAACAAAGTAATGTGCTTGGCTATTTTTTCCAAAAGATATTCTATCAACTCCTCCTTTTAGAAACCCACACGAGTGAGTCACAAGAGGAGTAAGAAGTTATTTTAATCATCTTTTTCTTTAGGATCATGTCTCTCTCTTCTGCTTATCTGATTCTCAAGTCTTCCTTCCTATTTGGCCCTCTTCCTTGTAAGACAAGACCTATTGATACTTTTAAAATATTTTGCAATTTAATATCTATAATGAACAGAATGAAGGTAATCCCAAGTTTCTATAAAATAGCAACCCTTAGACTAAAGACAGAAATCCCACACATCTTCCTTCTAGAGACAGTACAGGCAGGAGACATGCTGTATCCAATAGAAGCTCCTTGAAACCTCCAAATACTGAATTTTCAAAATAATGAATACATCTGAATGGGTAAAGCAGCATTGTATTACATTCATGGGGAGGAAGTGGGGCACGCAAATAACATGACAGAACCTGGACCTCTCAGGAGTTTATCATCTGGATGGGGAGAAATCAGTACACATTCATGAGGTGGAGAAACAAAACTGACACAGAAGTCAATATGCATCGTAACTGTACAGGCATAAGTGTATACAAACTTGGTGAAAAAAAATAAAACAGAATTGTCTGTATGGTGGGATTATGGGTGATTTTGACTTTCTTTTATATATATTGTCTGAAATTGTTAATGTGAATGTATTTTTTGTAAAAAGTTGATTTGGTCCAAAAGTGGTAGAATAGTGGCTACAAGGACTTCCCTGGTGGTCCAGGGATTAAGACTTCATGCTTCCATTGCAGGGGGCATGGGTTCAATCCCTGGTCAGGGAACTAAGATCCTGCATGCTCCACATGGCACAGCCAAAATAAAAGAAGTGATGAACAACTTTAACAAACCAAAGCAAGATGAAACCTAACCCCAAAGTAAGGAAAACCTAGAAGGGGATGATTTATGCTGCAAACCCCAGCAAAGCTTAAGAAATGTGAGCACTACTATTGAAGAAGTTCTACTAATTGGCATACAAAAAGTTAACCCAGATTCTCAGTCCATTCTATTAATACAGATAAGTAAATAGCATTATGTATTTGAGGAAATCCTTTAACATAAAAGAGATTAAACAAAGGCCAAAGGGAAACTTCCCTGGTGATGCAGTGGCTAAGACTGTACCCTCCCAATGCAGGAGGTCTGGGTTTGATCCCTGCTCAGGGAACTAGATCTCACATGCTGCAACTAAGATCTGGCACAGCCAAATAAATATTAAAAAACAAAACAAACAAAAAACAACAGAAAAACAAAGGTCAAAGGAACTTGGAAGAGAAACTACACAGTAATACAAAATTCCAAAAGCCACCACTAATATCATCAGAGGGATATGAGAAGCCATTTCACAAGATGGAATTGCTGTTGTAGTAAGGACAATTGTTGTTCAGTCACTCAGTTGTGTCCGAATCTTTGTGACCGTGTAGATGACAGCACACCAGGCTTCCCTGTCCTTCACTAACTCCCAGTTTGCTCAAATTCATGTTCATTCAGTTGGTTATGACATCCAACCATCTCGTCCTCTGTTGCTTCCTTCTCCTCCTGCCTTTAATCTTTCCCAATATTAGGGTCTTTTCTGATGAGTCAGCTCTTCACATCAGGTAGCTGAAGTACTGGAGCTTCAGCTTCAGCATCAGTCCTTCCAATGAATATTCCGGGTTGATTTCCTTTAGGATTGACTGGTTTGATCTCCATGTTGTCCAAGGAACTCTCATGAATCTTCTCCAGCACCACAATTCAAAAGCATCAATTCTTTGGTGTTCAGCCTTCTTTACGATCCAACTCTCACATCATACATGACTACTGGAAAAACATACCTTTGATTATACAGACCTTTGTTGGCAAAGTGATGTCTCTGCTTTTAAATACACTGTCTAGGTTTGTCATAGCTTTCCAAGGATAGAAGAATAGGATAACATTAAAAGTGGTGGGGGTGGGGTGGGCAAGGACTTTGGAGCCAGGACACCTGCTCTTCTACTAACTGAACAGGTGACATTTGGCAAATGACCTAACCCCTTCACACCCCTCACTTTGATCTGCTGGAAAAAAACAAAGATGAGAGTATCATCTTAAGAGAATGAAACCATCAACGTACAGGTACACAGCAAATTTTGCAGAAACGCTTTCTCTTATTTCACAAGCTGTTAGGCAAAGTTTTATCAACTGTAGTACCTAAGAATGTTCATGAGATGGTTAGCACACGAGTAAAAATTTTAAAGGTCAGTGAAAAGATATTTGCAATAGAGTAACCACTGAGAACCAAAGAGACTGAATATTGCAAAGTCAACCCACTTGAACAAGCAAACAGTGACACGAGAACCACCTGGAGCACCAAGACTGACACACAGGAGAGGTTTCCTTTAAAAATAGCAACTGGCTCTGGTAAAGCTCGTGCACCACATGCGAACACACTTGGCTCTTGCTCTTCACCCACCCCTTTGTTTTCCACAAAAAGAAGAGACTCAAAGAAGATTCCTTCTGAATGTGTATCACCATTTATTGTAGTTTGCGTCAGGAATTGAACAGAGGACACTGTCTGTGGAGTGGTGGGGGGAGAAAAAGGAAAAGAAAGTATGTTTTTGTAGAATTCATTTTTTTCAAAACACTTTATGGTTTCAAAATCCTCTTTTACCCCAAAAGAAATTCAAGAATTCAAGTATGGTAAGTGGGGAGCAGTAATACAAAAAGTCTTTTATGTTTATGTGTGTGTGTGTGTGTGTGTGTGTGTGTTACAAGCAGACATACTTCTACATTTCTCGCACCCTTTTTTGCTTTGGTAAGGCCAAGCCCCACAGGACACATCCATACAAACAATCCTGTGTTGAACTCAGAGACTCAAGGGTTGAGGAACTTATTTACCCTCATAGAATAACTGTAAAGATTTTAAAATGTCACAGAGCATTAAAAGAAAAACCCAACCCCCCAACACCCAAACCATAAGACATGAAATCCTGATACACTTAAATGCTTCTTTTGCTGCAGCTGTTCCTCAGATTCCTGATAGTGGGCCTACTACAAGGACCAGAGCAATAAGATACTCTTCATTTTGTTTAGAATAATTAAAAAAAAAAAAATTATGGGACATTTCAAAAGAAAAAAAAATAAAAACTAAAATTCAAATTCTGAAAATATCTTGCCTCTTTTATTAATCATGTCATCTAACACCAATTAAAAAAAACAAATACGTGAATATGATATAAAAATACGATCCCGGGATTAACACTTGTTGCAGGCACAGTTATCTCACAGAATATATGTTTGGAGGGCCAAGGAAAGGAGTTTATTTTTGTTTTTGCTTCACTTAAAAAAAAAATCCACAGCAGTGCAAGTAGGATCAGGAAGAGGGTAGGAGGGGGGAGATTCTTTAGCAGCAAAATGTCCAAGGTTCTCTAATCACAATCAAAATCAACGGATATTGGATTTGGGGGGGGGGGGGGCGGGGGAAGATGAAAGGGATGCTGCCCAGACCCATTCGTCATCAATCACTAAAAGACTTCTGCTGCAAAAGCCCCGAATTGTGACATATGAAGGACGTGCTCTATTACACAAGCTATCATCAAATGTGTCCTTCAAGCTTTTGACCACGTTTGTCACTTAAATATATGTACAGGAATTGGGCTCCTCCTCTTGTTCACGTCCTTTCAGGTCTCCACCGTTTGGTCACTCTGGGTGGGCTTGTGGTGTATTTTGCCTCCAATGTTTGAACAGCATGTGCACCATCACTCTGGTTTGCCTCGCTGGCCCTGGCTGTTTCCAGCAGAAGGTGGGCAGGCAGGGTGGTTTAGTGATCACTGTTCTGCTTCTCTCTCATCCAGGCGTGAATCTGTTCTTTCAGTTCTGGCACTGAGAAAAGAAAAAGAACGAATTAATGCCCTGGATGGGCTTTTCCTGAGAGATGATGCCTGCAGTTCAGTATAAAGAAAGGGCCATTTATATCCTCATGGAATTGAAGGCTGAGGAAGAGGACATGAACAGTAAAGACTGGAATTCTATAGTGAAAAAGAGCAAAGAATGTTTTGTGTCTTTTCCATTACAAAGTGTCAGACAGAAACCATGGAGCGTCTGGACTTGTTAAGTTTCCCCCTTTGGGTTACTCTCTGACACAGGATTTTTGGCCCCGCTGCTCGGACAGGTGTAGACACTGCAGTTCAAGCTCTGCCCTCCCGTACCTGGTTCCAGCATGCTCTCTGTCAGCGTCTGTCGGTTGAAGGGGTCCGTGGGGGAGTTCAGCAAGTGCCGCAGGATGATGGAGCGGTCCATGATGGTGCCGGAGGGCAGTCGCACGGGGTCAGTCATCAGGGTGTCCATTAGAGGGTCTACAGAGACAAAGCAAAGCAAATTCTAATCAAACAACAGCACATAATCCTGAAAAAGAATATAAAGCAAAGTCTCTCCTATCAGTGAAAAACAGAGCAGCAACAAAATGGCCCCGACCAGGCCACCAAGTTTAGAAGGAAATCGGCACTAGATAAAAGCACACACTTGTCCTTTTGCAGATGGGAAAGTACCCTCTTGTCAGCTACTAGGAGGAAAGATTAGAGAAAAAAAAGACAGTAAGACAGATACAGCAGCAATCAGCGAAGGTGGCAGCTAGAATCAACCCTTCCTCTTAGTACTCCTCACAATTCTTGGAACATACAAATCCCTGCCTGCAAAGGCAAGGCTGACCTTAGAATTTTCAGGGCTGTTATCTGGTTTGAAATCAGGCGAAGGATTTTATTCCCCTTGTCATTTATAATATGAACTAAAAGTAGGCAATGGTAATTTCAATTTCAGACCAAGAGTCTCAAAAAGCAAGGAGAGCACAGAACATCTTCTAATGTTACAGGTTTCAGGTTAAATCAAAGAATTTGGTATAAGAAAAGTGGGTCCACTCACCTCTGAACTCATCTGGGGCGTCACTGTAGTCAATTTCTGCACGTGCATTCTTAGCCACAATCTCCTCTACTTTCTCGGCCAGAAGCTTGAACTTCTCTATCGCTATGGTGGATTTGATTCCCGCCTTCCGCATTTTTGAAATAACTTCTTCAAACAACTCTTTGCTGTAGGATCTCTGCAAAAGAGGAAAGACAATGTGAGATGTAAATATAAATGGAAAAAAGCAACCTGCAGAAAATATCCAAAGTAAGCTCTGTTTTCTAAAAAAGCCCTAAAATTATAAGTATATATAAATACACTTTATTATTATTTTTTTTAAATACACTTTAACATGGCTATAAATACATAAAGACTGGGCTTTATGTACAAGGTCATTACTTCTGGAAGGGGCTTTAGGACTGAGGCAAATGAGAGGAATTTTTAAAAAATTTAATTACTTTTACAACAAACATGCATTTCTCTTAAAATTTTAATATTAAAAAGAAAAGGAAATCTAGTCTAGTTTAGTCTTCGTAAGGCACTCAGATGGTAAAGAATCCACCTGCAATGTGGGAGGCCTTGGTTTGATCCCTGGGCTGGGAAGATCCCCCGGAGGAAGGCATGGCAACCCACTCCAGTGCTCTTGCCTGGAGAATCCCCATGGACAGAGGAGCCTGGCGGGCTACAGTTCATGGGTCGCAAAGAGGTGGACATGACTGAAGGACTAAGCACAGCACACAGAGACCCAATACCCTGCAAGAGGAGGTAGATAGTTCAGTTCTTTTCCCTAAAAGTAAACACGGTGAAAACAACCCAGAGTAAACAATCAACAGGAGCTTTCTCCCATTCTCTGATGCTTCTTTAAGATCTTTTACTTTAATGCTATTAAATGTCAGAGGCTCTGCTGATGGGAGCAAACAGGGATTTGTGCCTGTGAGAGTGGGAGAGATGACCTGCAGGGCAAGCCCCACCACAGATCCAGGCGACCCTGGACTTCAAACCTGGCTTCACCATCTACCCACTGCGTGGTTTTAGGCAAGGCTCTAACTCTCCTTAGCCCCAGTCTCCTTGGGTGTAAAATGCTGGTAGTAACACCTACCCTACAGGTGCCTAATTTATATTAATTACTGCCATTTCAAAAGAGCAAAGTATATCATATTTGGCATTTAGAAAAACACTGGCCACATGCCACTTTAGTGATACAAAGATAGTCAGGGAATGATTAAATAGTGACCTGTGATTTCTAAACAAGGATTCACAAGAACATATATCTGTGGGATGAATTCATCTTAGTACTTCTGTTTTCTCAAAACATTGGATTGAAAGTCCTCAGTCTTCCTTCTATCCTTTTTTTAACTCCAGTTTCTAAATAAGTGCACATACTCACTTTCTGTCTCCACACACACCCATGTCCCTCATTCAATCCATGTGGGAAAAAAGCAAAGGACGAAGTGTTTTTCTTTTTGTCTGGGCCTAGCAATAATAGTTATAGTTTTCTGAAACTAAATTACTACTTTAGTTCAACAGATACTTTATTTGGTATCTACTTACTATAAGCCAGGTAAGCCACCATCCCCATCCCCTAGGGCTTCCTTGATAGCTCAGTTAGTAAAGAATCTGCCTGCAATACAGGAGACCCCAGGTTGATTTCTGGGTTGGGAAGATCCACTGGAGAAGGGAATAACTACCCACTCCAGTATTCTGGCCTGGAGAATTCCATGGACTGTATAGTCCATGGGTTTGCAAAAGCAGTCAGACACGACTGAGTGATTTTCACTTCAGAGGGAAATAAACGGCCAGAAGTTCACAGTCAGTTGCTGAAAGGGCAAAACGCACAGGGTGGCTGCTGCTGTCCACGCTACTGTGATGATTCACCTTGAATGCCTCAGTCCATTTGGTGTTCTTGAAAACATCACCCACTCTATTTCTCGAAAGAAATTTTGCACTTTCCTGGCAGTACAGTGATTAAACACTCTGTGCTCCCAATGTAGGGGATATGGGTGCAATCCCTGGCCAGGGAACTATGATCCCACATGCTACGTGGCACCCCCCAAAAAAGATGATTGAGTTTTTAAATGACTGACTTGTGCCTGCTGCTGAGTCAACTTCTAAGATACAGCAGTGGATAAACATGATCAGAAACCAAAGGGCACTCATGATAAGGGGACATGGCATTCAGTGTCAAAGAGCAGCAGCATCAATTAATCAAACAAATATAGATTACTGAGCTGCTGCTTCAAGTTCAGCGTGGATGGGGCTGGAGAGGAAGCAAAGATGTTATCCTTGACCTCAAGGATTGTAAAGAATGGCTACAAAATTGGACATAAAAACATCTGCAAATTATGTATCTGATGTTGGTCTAGTATCCAGAAAGTATGAAAGAACTCACACAGAATACATAAAGAACAAAATAGAAAGGATCCAATTTCAAAAATGGATAAAGGGGAATTTCCTGGTGGTCAAGTGTTTAGGACTCCATGCTTTCACTACTGAGGGCTTGGGTTCAATCCCTGGTCGGTGAACTAAGATCTCACAAGCCACTTGGTGCAGCTAAGGGGAAAAAAAGAAATGGATGAAGGACTTGAATATATAGCTCTCCAAAAAAGATATACAAGTGACCAGCAAGCACTTGTCATTAGGGAAATGCAAATCAAAACTACAGTGAAATACCACTTCACTCCCACTAGGGTGTCTATTAAAAACAAAACAAAACAAAAACACCAGAAAACAGCAAGTGCTGGTGAGGATGTGGAGAAATTAGAACTCTTGTACACTACTCGTGGGCTTGTGGGACTGTTAAACACAGAACTACCATGTGACTCAGAAATTCTACTCCTAAATATATCCTAAAGAATTGAAAATAGGTATTCACACAAATACTTTGTCTGACTGCTTTGCGGCCCCATGAACTGTAGCCCACTAGGTTCCTTTGTCCATAGAATTCTCCAGGCCAGAATACTGGAGTGGGTAGACATTTCCTTCTTCAGGGGATCTTCCCGACCCAGGTATCAAACCCTGGTCTCCCACATTGCAGGCAGATTCTTCACAGTCTGAGCCACCAGGAGACATGGGTTCAATCTCTGGGCCAGTAGGATCCCTTAGCCACAGGGCAACTGAGCCCCATGTGTCACAACTACCAAGCCTGCGCTCTATAGCCCATGTCCTGCAACACGTGAAGCCCACCTGTCACTATGCTCCACAACAAAAGCAGCCACTGAAATGAGAAGCCTTGTGCACCGCAACTAGAGAGTAGCCCCTGTTCTCCACAATTAGAGAAAAGCCCGTGTGTGGCAATGAAGGAAAAAGGAACTAGGTACTGATGCATGTGTAACATAGATGAACCTTGAAAACATGCTACCTGAAAGAAGCCAGACACAAAAAGTTATATACATTGTATCATTCCATTTATATGAAATATCCAGAATAGACAAATATAAAAATAGGTAAAATAAAGACAGAAAGCAGTTTAGTGGTTGCTAGGATGAGATGGGATAGTGGCTGCTTAATGGATACAGGACTTCCTTATGGGAGTGATAGAATGTTCTGTAACTAGAGAGGGGATGGGTGTCCAACACTGTGAATGTAATAAGTGCCACTGGACTGTACGGTTCAACATGGCTCATTTTGTGTTATGTGACTTTCACCTCAATTAAAAAAAAAAAGGTGCATGGGAGAAGTGAGGTTTCAGGTGGGCTCTTTACTATCATCATTTTTCCACGAAACGTGGTGTTAACAGACAGTGCTCCAGGAGCATCAGATTGCCATCCATCTGTCCGGAAAGCACAGGGAGATGCAGCCCTGGACACGGCTCCCAAGTCAGGCTACGACCTCTCTTCTCCTGGGCTCTCTGGGCTTTGGGCACAGCTGTCCTGCTGCCCACCCCGCTTCCTCCCACCCTGACCAGGGGCTCTCTGCTCAGACATGTAAAGCTCAGGGCTCCTTGTACTGGTGTCTCCTGTCCCCTGTCCTGGGCACCTGTCTTCCACCCACTCTCATGCGTGGAAGGCTCTCTGCTTCTTCTCTTGCTCGGCCGCCACTTTCTTCTTCCTTTTGTCTCCCCAGGAAAATAAGACACACCTGACGGAACCAGAGCAAATCAACAGCACTGCCCCCATGGAGATAACAACGTGCCACCACCTCCCTGGAGCCTTCCAGTCTCCCATCCTTCTGCCCCTCCCCACCACCCAGACTCTTCTAAAACAATCCAGTTGGCAGGCCCCTCATCGGCTTACAGCCAACGTAAATGCAAAGTGTCCAAAAGTCGAGACAAACATCACACTGTACAACGCAGCAAAAAACCCACTTAAAAAGCATTCTTCTCTCCATGGTGTCACCAGCACTTGTGTGCTTGCTTCACGGGTCTGGAAGAACAGGGCTACTGAGACATTCAAGCAGACCTGAGTGCCACTGCAGGCCACCACCATAATCCACACGTGTTACCAGGGAGTGTGGATGGTTTACTGGTCACCAAGGAAAGCAGTACTAAGCACCCCTTTGGTTTTCACTGTCTCACTGGGTATGCTGTGTTCATCCACACTGCAAACTTTGAGTTACATTAACTTCTTGTGTTGTGGTGGCCACAGTTAAACCTACCAGGAGAAGAGGGAGCAGGCTAATGACCGTCTGGAGTCCCTGGAAGAGTCCCCGGGGACTTCTCACACATGACCTCTGGCTGGGCTGAGAGGCCCCGTTCTAGTCGGCCTGCTGCCCATGGCGGAAGCCCTGAGCTCACATGGTGAGTGTTTCCATTTCCTGTCCCTCCTAAGACTACTGTTTATCTTCCATTTCTCAATACATGCAGTATTATATAGTTGCAGACAGGAGAATCATTTTAGCATCTCCTCAAAATAACTGCAAACACCTAACCTGTTCTTTTACCACTACTTTTTTGCGGAAAAACTGCTTTACACATATGTAGTTTCTTCCATTGCAGGCACTCTGTCAAGACCACATCTCCTGCTTACATCTCAAAGTACCTACTACGTATATGATGTATGTCTCAATAAAACTTTTACTGGAAAAAAAACAAAAAAGGACCTGCAATTTCCCTATTTTGACCTTTAGATGATATGTAAGTAAAAAACCTGGAGGGGACTTCCTTGGTGGTCCACTGGTTATGATGCCGTGCTTCCAATGCAGGGATGCAGGAGATGCAGGATTGATCCCTGGTTAGGGAACTAAGATCCCACATGCCATGCAGGGCAGCCAATAAATAAATAAATAAACAACAACAACAACAAACCTTCTGGAATTCCTAGTGACAGTTACCCTGAGAGGTAATTAATATCTGGAAAAACAATGTGAACAAAGATGGAGAGATGGAAACAAACATGGAACATCGGGGCATTTTAAGCGAAGAGCAGAGAAGTTGAGGACAGGAACTCAGGGCAGACACCAGGGAGGAGCCCTGTCTCTGCCCCACGCTAACCGTGTGCCTCTCTAACCTCTGTGCGCCTCCAAGGGTGCGAGGAATCCAAGGGAACCCATATCGCAGGATTTTGTGAGAGTCACAAGTGAAAACATGAAAGGTGGTTAAACCCTGACATGCGGTTAATAACCATTAGTTACTAAAATGCTGAAGATGCTGCAGGACAGAGGAACGTGGAGGAAGAAGCCCTGTAGGAGATTCTGAAAAATTAAAAATCAAGGCTGGACTGGGGTTTCTGGGACTAAATTGGAAGCTGTGGAAATGAAAACCACAAAATGGATGTGATCACCAGGACCCAAGGAATAAGGGAGGGAAGGATGTAAAAGTAACAAAAAAGGTCTGAAACCTGGAACCACAGAATTAACAGCAGCACTGAAGCTGAAGAGACTCCCTGAGAAAACAGGGTTTCTTCTGAGCTTAACAGATTTGTCAAGCAAGGCTCTTAACAAGATGGGTTACAAACTCAACTGGAAATGGATCTGAGAGCCATCCGCTCTTTACGTCCAAAGCACAATAACCGGTTCATCTCCATTTACACCAGACAAGTTTCCCCTGCCACTGTGGCTATTATTTGTTTACATCCTAAAAACTTTCCAAGCTACATTTTGCAAAAGTGTCCCCTTCCTTGATTTCCAGTGGGGAAAACCCAGAAACAGAGGGATGTGCATGGAGTCTGCCAGGACATCCACAGGGACGCAAACTCAAGTTGCCAACCTCCCAGGCACTGACCTGGTCGTCAGCGATGGCTTTCGCGAACCGGGCACAGTCCAGCTGCAAGTAAATATCGGTCAGTTGGTCCAACAGCTTCTTTGGTTCAAAGCCATATTTCTCGGGGTTTTCAACTTTCAGGTCACGGCACTTCGGGCCACAGAGTTGCTGAAGATTGAAGTTTAGCATCGCGGCCAATCGGGGTCCAAGTTCCTAGGGAATCACAGGATAACGGGACAAGTCAAGCTGTCAAGTCAAGTAAGGAGGACCAAACACTCTCCTTTCAGCGACTGCAGGGCCAGGAATTGGCAGGATAGACGTTCAAAGAATCCCTTACCTCTGCTGCATCATATAAGCTGAAGGACATTCCATTCAGCCTTCTCTTTACTCTCCATTTCTAATACAACAATTCTAATACTTAATAGAATGTTGCAGCCTGATGAAATATTTATAAATACCAAAAAAGCAACCTTTTCTTTAAATTCATGTTTTTAATTATAAAAACAATAATCACTTCTAATTTGCTGAGAAACAAGTCACAAATATTTGAGTCTGCTCTTTCAGCCATCATTTTAGGTATTATTTTTTTATAAATTTCAAATGTTCCTTAGACAATATGCACCATTCTCATTTATCAGATGCAAAGAACAGAGAAATATAAAAGAGGAGATAAAATCTGTCTTGAATGGTTTTAAATCAAGCCAGTGAAACAAAACAAATGAAACAACTAGAAGATAAGTATGAAATAACATGTTATAACCCCACTAGATGATACAGTACTACTACAAGTGGGCATACTTTGCTTTAAGGAAACCTGAGAGGGGAAAATCTCACTTTGAGAGTATTAAACAGTGGCCATAAATATGAGTCTTGAAGGCTTCTCTTTAAGGAACAAGGTTTTCATTAAATTTAATGACTGGATCTATACAAAATCAACTTAAACTTGGCTTTTAAAGGATCTACTCTTGCACAAAGTAAAGTACTCCTGTGTTGTTTTTTTTTTTGATGAATATATATTCTTTAATCTACTCTTCTTCACTGAAGTATGATGGAATGTCATCCCTTGGGTTAAGATGAATATATCCATGTTGTTATTCTACAAACACTTTCATTTTTGATTCACAATTTCCAAATATTTTATGTCTTGATAATACATCCGTAACTTTTACATTAAAAAAAAATTTAAGTTGGAGGATAATTGCTTTACAATGCTGTGTCAGTTTCTGCTGTATAACATGAGTCAGCTATACATATACATATATCCTCTCCCTCTTGCACCTCCCTCCCCCACCATATTCCTATATTTAATTGTTAAGAAACTGTGAAATAAAAGAGTGATTAAGAATAGAATATAACTGGTGATTTTTCTTTCTCAAGTGGGAGAGTTTTGTGTTAACCAGCCAAGACTAGCCAAGAAGGTGAAAACAGTTCAGCAAAGGGAAGAGAAAGATGATGGCAGGCAGAGCAAAGCCTGGGGGCAGAAGACCATGACCCATGTGTGCAGACAGCTCAGATCAGTTAGTAGATCTTGAAAAAAATTAATTTTAATTGACATGAAAATATTAGGCTTAGCTTTCAATAATTTCCTTTAAAAATGAAGAATTTAGAGTAAAAAAAAAAGGCTTTATAATAATTTATTCTCAAAAGATATTTTTAAATATTTCTTTTTATTTATCTATCTGTTTGGCTGTGTGGGGTCTTAGCGATGGCATAAGGGATCTTCGATATTCATTGAGGCATGTGAACTCTTAGTTTGGGCATGGGGTATCCAGTTCCCTGACTGGTCCCTCTGCATTTTGAGCTTGGACTCTCAGCCACCGGACCACTGGGGAAGTCCCTCAAGTAATTTTTATAGTTTCTGACCCTCTAAACAATCACATGGCACTGCCATTGGAGCACCTGAACATAAAATACAACATGACTTAGAGCAGGGACTGGCAAAATCTGAGCTGTGAGACAAATCTGGCCTGATGCCTCAGCTGAGGCAGTCTTACTGGAACACAGTTAACAGCAGAGTTAGTAGCTGAGACAGAGACTGTGGGGCCCACAACATATAAACTACTCACTGTCTGGCCTTTACAGAAAACGTTTATAGAAACTCCATTTGCAAGGCTTTAAGGGAAGCAAGTGTCTGAAGTACCTTGTCTAAATGAGTTGCCGTATTCTTATGCTTTTAATGATGTACTGTTTGCTTCATGTTCTGTTGCTCCTATTTATGAAAAGACATGAAATGGAAAGGGGACAGGGGAGGGGGCCCATCTCGTGAGCTGCACCCAGGCCAGGGTGTGGTGATAATCCTGAAGGTAAGAGTAAGCAGGGAGGGGACTTTCCTGAGGTCCAGTGGCTGAGGCTGTGTTTCCACTGCAGGGGGTTTGATCCCTGGGGAACTAAGATCCCACATGCTGTGCTGTGCATCCAAAAATTTCTTTTTAAAACACAGAGGGAAACTGGAGGAAATACATAGTAAAATTATATTCCACTATAACTGTGCTTCCATGTGAACAGTGGACTACCAAATCTTAGGTCCCTTTCTTGCCTTCCTCACTACCCTTGTCCTGGCCACACTGTAATGCCTCTAAACTCGTGTGTGTGTGTGTGTTTGTGTGTGTGTTGGGGGGGTGGTCAAAGCAGAGCAAAGATTTTCATTTATGCCTCTCAGCTTTGACTTTAGAAACAGGATCCACGTCTCTTCAATCAAGTCAAAGCCTGACTTCAGAAACAGGATCCACGTCTCTTCAATCAAGTCAAAGCCAAACATTCTGTCTACCAGTGATCTACCATAAACCCTAATTAAGGCTCTCAATAACCTTTGACTTCTTGAATGTAACAAAGCTACACTTGAAGAGAACCAAAGATCTTACACACTGTCAATTATTTCTACTTAATAAACTCTAATTTCCAATTGATGTCACTTTATACTTTCCTTATAAATAAAACACAGGAATCAATAATGATAAAAATATGCCACAGCTTCAACATTAATAATCCAATGTGCTGTCTCAGCAGAAAGTGAACTAGAAGTGACTGTCTTCAGACTTCAGTGTATCAACAGACTGCTGTGCATATCAATTAGCGTAACTGGGAACAAACTCAGTGACAGATTCTGATTGGTGACTGTGACGCTAAAACACCCAGAATTTCAATGACGACTATATTTAGTTCTAAGTTGACAGGCTCTGAATGTTGAATCCAACAGACAAAACAAATACCCCGAAGGTTCTACTCACGGGTCTCAGGAATGGCTTCTGGACCTGCTTGGTGAGAATATGGAACATGTCCACAGTCTCTGTCGCCAGGGCAAGATAGGAGCGTGAAACACGCTCATCCTGAGCGAGCTGGGACTGGCGAGCCTGCTGCTGGTCCTGGGGAACAGTGAACAGATGCCAGACACATCTCAGTACTAGTCATCAGCTCACCAAGCTCCAAGTGCAAAGGAAAAATACAGTCAGCTCATAACTAGGAAAGTGTGTAATACAGTCAACAGACTTGGGGGATCATAGAACCAGCTGTTTGGCAAATGTTCCAGATTACTGAGGTTTATTCCTTTTGCCATCAGACATCCTTAGGACTTTGAAGAAGGTGGACCTGGCACATGATTTAACGTACACGAGACTCAGTTTCCTCAATGACAAAAAGAAGTCACTATGAACCTCTATGCAGGATGAAATAAGTGATGTTGTGCTTGATACACACTGGGACCTAATAAAGGACGTTCATTGTCCTTAATGACAACCTTTACTTAGTCATCATTATTTTGAAAACATGAGATCTGTTATGCTATGACACTGAAGTCTGTAGGTTTTGCCATGACACCAAGGGCCTAGAAATGGCTAAGCTTCTGAACCATGTCTTTCCACACCAGTCAGGCTGTCAACCTTTACAACTGTCAGCAAGCGTGCTTGCCTCAGGCTCCATCCTCCTCCTCCTCCTCTGACAGAGGCTGGAACATGAGATAACAAGGTGGATTTGACTCATGGGTAAAGTAAGATGGGGCAGAGAAGGCTCTGCAAGGAATAAAACGTAGAAATATCAGGATGGGTTTATATTCTTACAGTTGCTCAGAGGCCAGCTAACTTTGTGTTGGGGAGGGAAAATAGCTGGAAGAGCTGATGGAGCCACACCAGTACATCCTGGGAAAGTGCCTGGAGGAGAACCTCCATCAGTGTTGCATGACCTGCCCACTGCCCTCTGGACAGGACAGAAAAGGTGAAGCACGGGGATTGGAAGAACAGCAAAGTGAGAACCACCTCAGTGTGTGTCAGAGTGTCTTGCTCATTATCAACCATGGGCCAGGCCTCTGTTAGGGGATGGAGCACAGAATATGACCAAGAAGGCTCCCTACCTCATGGAGCTTAGATTCCAGTTAGAGAGACAAGCAATAAACAGACACCCACCCAAACAGATGCTTAATAAGTCTGATAATGATTTTCAAGAAAAATAAAGCAGGGTAGCAAGGAGGAAGAGTGTGCTGGGGTCAGGGTGCTACTCTGGAAAAGGTAGTCTGGGAAGGCCTCTCTGAGGAGGTGACATAAGAAGGTAGCTAAAGGAAGTGAGTCAGCAAAAATCCAGGGTAAAAGCACTCCAGGTGGAGGGAACAGCAAGTGCAAAGGCCCTGCCGGTGGGGGTAGAAGCAAGGAGGAGGGTGTAGCCCGGGAAGAGGAGTGAAGCAAGAAGGGTAGGGCCAATAGTGCATGCCCAGGGAGAATTCAGGAAGCCTGGAAGGGCTCTGAGCAGAGCAGCAATGAGAAGTTGACAGAGGACTTCCCTGGTGGTCCACTGGTGGAGACTCTGCACTTACAATCCAGGAGGCACAGGTTTGATTCCTGGTCAGGGAACTAAGATTTACACATGCCGCAAGGCACGGCTGAAGGGAAAAAAAAAAATGAAGCCAACTGAGATTTTAACAGCATCCTTCTGGAGTGGACATCAGGCAACGGTGAAGGCTGGGAGACCACAAGGGAGTCTTCTCCAGGTAAGAGACCGTAGTGGTCCAGAGGTGGAGGAAAAAGGTCAGACAATGAATATATTTTGAGATAGAGCCTAGGGGCATTTGCTGAGACAGCAAGAGAAATCAAGGAACACTCCACAGGTGCTGAGCCAGAGCACTGAGTAGAATGCAGTCCTCATTTCCTGAGGCAGGGCAGAGGAGATCTGGAAAACAACTTCTGGACACAAGTGGAGATCCCATTAGAACCCCGGGCAGAGGCAAGTCAATAGCTGGCTACGTAAGCCTGAATCAACTTACATAAGCCTGAATCAAGAGTGAGCCGAGCTTGGGAGGCACATTTTGGAATCTTTAGAATACAGACAGTTAAAGCCTTGGAATAGATGAGATAGGCCTGCAGCTGTTTTCAACTGGGGGCATCAGGTACTGAGTGGGAGTATTCCCGGTTGCCTGGTAACTGGAAGTAGGAGGGACAGATCACTGGCATTAGATGGGCATGAATTGGAGATGCCCTGCAGCATCTGGGACAGTCTCTCCTGACAAAGAGTTACTCTTATGTCAAAACTCCAACCAGCACCCTTACCAAGGAACACACGACCTAGGGAAAGTCATGTGTGAAAAGAGAAGAGGTCTGAGCACTGGGGAGGAGCAGGCAGGGAGACGGGAGGGAGGAAGTGATTTCAAAGCCAAGCAGAACTGATTTCTGAAATAGCATTTGTCAGGGATTATTTATGCCCTTTTCCCATCCATTAACACAGAAAAAAATCAATAGTATGTGCTCAGTTGCCTCATAAACAAAAGCTCTTATGATAAGCACTGGCCCTGGACAAGACAATGTGCTGCAGAGCCACATCCCAACATCAAAAGCATAAGCTGGTCCAGCACTGGCATCATGAGCGACATCAAGTGGGCATCACAGGAGCAGACAGAAAGGTGAGACTTTGCAGCTTCCCTAATGGGAAGCCAACTATGAGGAAGTATTTGGACAAGAGCTCCTTCAAAGGATGGGTAAGAGTTTAATACCTAACAGCGGAAAGTACAGCATTTTGGACAGGAGAGTCTCAAGGCAAATAAAACCACAGGAGCTGCACGTCCTGAACACGTTCTCCAGGCTGGTCCTGAACTCAGTCCTCACCATCCACCATCTCTCCTCAGTTTTCCTCAAGGCAGGAACTACCTCTGACTTACGGGCCAGGAAACAGAGATGATGAACTCAATGAGTGGCAGTACCAGTTCTCAAACCCAGGTCTGCTGGATTCCAAAGCTAAGGCTCTTTCAACTAGAGCTCATCAGTCTCCCTGACACGTTCTGCCAAGGGCTGGGGGACCGGGCCAGATTGGAGTCGAAGGACTGGTAAGCTTCGGAGGGTGTCTTAGAGCCCCCTGGGGCTGTGGAGGCTCAGGCACAGGGCTGACTGCAGCCTGTGTGAAATAGAGAGCAGAGAAGGAGGGTTTTGGTGGCCCTGGAGCAAAACAGTTTAAGGTGTGTTTAAAAATGAACATGAGAGTGATGAGAAGGACAAAGTGTATCTAGAGGGTGGAAAAAGACGACAACCACTGCATTATCTCACGAATACAATTAGAGGGGCTTGAGGAGCATGTTGGTATGGACTCCAGACAAATCCAGAAATCATGGGCTCTGGGTGAAGCCCCCCAAAAGGGTGAAGTCTATAGTAGAAGCACTTTGGCTACCCTAAGGTGTAGAATTTTTATCAAAGCTGTGAGAATACTTGGAATGAAGACCTTCCTCAATGTGCTTCAATACTCGGCGTTTGAGGAGAGAGGAGCATGGTGGACTACAGTCACAGGGACATAAAGACTTGGAAAAGACAGAGCAACTAAACAACCACCACAAGATAGTTTTGACTCTACAACTTTAGAACCTCAGTAATTTTCATTTTGAGAATGCTACTTCCAGTTAAGAAAAAGTAGCCCTCCCTACTTTCTGGAAAGCAGTTCTGATTTTGAATCTAACAAGACCAGGAGCAGAACTAGCCAATAAATGAGGCAACCAATAGCTGTCAAGGGCCCAGTAACTGACCAGGGAACCACCTAAACGACTGCAATAAATGTCAGGAGACGGCAGTAGGCGGCCGCCGGCACAGCAAGCATTTCTCATGGAACCTGGCAAGACAAGCCTCTTTTCTATTTATAACTGAACATAAAAAAGCAAGATCTATTGAAAGGAAAAACACTCTATCAGAGTCCTTCAGGGTTGTTCACACAGTTGTCCACAGAAGATCAAATCAAATTCTTGTCTAGCAGACAGAATTCTAGAGATTTATTCCCTAGTTACTTTCCTAAATATTCATCAACATATTCAAACAATAAAAGCTCTTCTCCCTAAAAAACCCTTTACAGTTAAAAGACAAAGGAAGGTTCTAGGACATATTCTGAAAGATTTCTCGGCTCATTGTTTGGCTTTAAGTCATGTCTTAAGGTCTCTCCCACTCAAAACCCACACTCGAATTTCCCAAAAGCCCACAGGAGGGAGATAACAAGTGCTGGCCAATCAGTCACATCTAAGCCTTCAGATCGGAGGAAGCAGCCCTCCTTGTGGCTGGGTCACCTGCACCGAGTCCTCACCCGGGGCAGCTGGTCCCACTGTTCTTTGTTCTTCATCTCTTCCTGCACTTCGTGGATCCGCTTCAGAGACTCCAGACTCTCATCGAGCAAGAACGTCGTGTCGTTTATCAGCATGTTTATATAGCGGACAAACTGCTTCCCAGAACTAAAAAGCAATTACACAGGACATAGTCACACGTTTACTGGCAGTGAATGTGGTGGCAGGTCCCAGAGAAAAATGGCCTCCACCCAAGTGCTACCAACCTCACCCCACAGAGCCACCAGCCTCGACACAACTTGATGCTGGGACCCCCGCATCTCCCCTTAGATTATGTGATTCTTTTATATTAACTGTGATAAGCTCATTCCAGTGATGTGCTGGAGCCACCTGGCAAGGTTCCTCAGAGTCATTGCTAATAACATTCTAGAATTCTGTGAGCAAATTCCCTTGGCAGCTTCAACTCTGGCATCAGTAGAAGTACTTACACCCTGGAAAACCAGCAAGTGCTGACTTCCAGCAACCCCAGCTCCAGAGAGTGGGTTACCAGCATTTCCCTGGCTCATTCCCTAAATAATTTTAAGTAGAGAAAACACTCCTCCAGACTAGAAAAAATATGCTTAAGCTCACCAAGATATAAGGAAAGCACAAATACCTCCATATAAGAGATAAGAGAACTAATGACACAGTTAATCTTTTTCATAAAGAAAGACACACTGAAGAAAAACTGGAAGCTGGAATACAGTTAACGTAAGACATTAATGGTCTGTATAGAAAGAGAAGCTTCCAATCTTCCCAACTGTCCTGTAAATCCTATTATAATGGACAGACTACCTGGTGAGCTGAGATGGCTTGGTCCACCTATTAGATTCTGGACCTGTCAGGTTAGGAGAGAAAAGAGGAACTACTCTTCAGGATCTATTGCTGGGAAATCAGAGGGCAGCGGGGTCTTGCCTTGGGAAGACAAGTACCTGTTTAACAAAGGCAGAGGCCTGGGTATCAGGAGACGGGAAATTCAGAATGAACACTCCTAATCAGCACCATGCAGATCGAGCTGTAGGCATGCCTGGTCTCCTAAGCTTATTAACCTCACTGCAAGCTTTTGTTGGCATGTACTTCTGACAACAAGAGCAGTTCATGGAAAAAGAGCTAACCGAAAGGGTTTACTTTGTGGGAAGCTATCAAAGAAATGGCTACTCCACTGGCCATACTTCCACTGTTGAATGGTAATTCAGTTAACAACTGACAGCTCCGCTTGATCAAGGATTGAATACAGGTTGCAAATATCAGAGTAGATGGGATAAAATTGCTACTCCACTGGCCATACTTCCACTGTTGAATGGTAAGTCAGTTAACAACTGACAGCTCCGCTTGATCAAGGATTGAATACGGGTTGCAAATATCAGGGTAGATGGGATAAAATTTCTTAAGATTAATTCAAGAGATCAACATTTTCATCTAGTTTTCTTTTTAAAGCACCTTTATTTTAAAATTTTCTTTTTAATTGGAGGATAATTGCTTTACAATGTGTGTTGGTTTCTGCCATACAGCAACATACATCAGTCACAGGTATACATATGTCCCCTCCCTCTTGAACCCCCCTCCCACCTACCACTCATCCCCCTCCCCAACGAGGTTGTCACAGAGCACCAGATTTGAGCTCCCTGCATCAAAGATTTGAGCTTGCTGCATCATACAGCAAATTCCCACTGCCTATCTATTTCACATGTGGTAGTGTATATGTCTCAATTTGTCCTACCCTCTCCTTCCCCCACTGTGTCCACAAGTCTGTTCTTTGTGTCTGTGTCTCCACTGCTGAACTTTTCTTTAAGTAACTTAGATGGCATTACTAATGTCCAGGTTTAAGCAGTCACTGAAACTTCAGGTTTGTAATGAGACAAACTTCATCAAGTTCTAGGCCCTCCCTACAAAGAACATCATTTCAAATGACAGCCTTCATACTAGCTGCTTTTGAACCTGAAGTCCTCCTAATGCTTCTAACTCTAAAGCTTGATTTCAACATATTCAAAGACTGCTAGAAGATCCCATTTGAGCCATTCTGCAAATTCATGTAATACGGTAATCAAGAAACACCAAAAAACACAACACTTCATCTCAGAATAGATTCTGTTTCCACGTATATTATGCCCAAAGTATCTTGACAAATCTAAAATTCAGCAAAGTTGGGTAGGCAGAGATTTTGATAATCCTGCTCACATTAAGCAGGACCATCTGGAAAACTTAGAGGAGACCAACCAAACAGTCAACAAGAACTAGCTGGGAAAGCTTTTAAGTGGCTGTTCTCCTCTGATTTGCAAGAAGGCAAGTGGTGACATTAGGGGCCCAATACTCACTTGAACTCCTCCATAAAGGTGCCGTGGTGAGCTATGTTCTGCCAAAGGCTTTTAAAGATGGTGCTAATGTGATAGCGAATGGTGAACTTGTCGTAGAACTCACTGGTGGCGCCGGTGTGCTCAACGTCTGAGGGAGAGAGACAAGGGACTGAAGGGTATGGACTTTCTTACCTTTCTAAAAGCAGCTATTGCTGCTGTAACATTAAGGAGTAATACGAATCTGCAAAATCAGAGACATGATACAATTCTGTCTCTATCTCATACGTAAGGCAGAAAAGAAATTACAAGTGGTTTTGAAGACAGACCTTCACAGTGAAGGAGGGCAATGACACAGTAACAAAATGAACTGGTCTGGGAAAATCGCTGGGCATCACTGGGCTAGCATCACCAATGACCAGAGTTGAATTATCATACCTCCCCCGACAGTTACTAGTTTATAGAAACATCACAACACTTCCCTGAGCAGGAAAAAACACTGGGTTAAATTTTATTAAGGGCAACATATCTACTGAATGTGATTATTACTTTAACTACTTTTGTATAACTGACATTTTAAAACATGTATCAAAGTAGAGAAAAGCACAGTAAATCTCTATGTACTCATCATTCATTTACCAGTTATCATGATCTATGTAGCTTTTAAAATGGAACAAAGATCAAACTTCTTATAAAAAGACAAATAGCTTAAGCATGAGAAATTCCTGAACTCATGACAAATTTTAAAAAGAGGGAAAACTGTCAGGTTAAGACAACGGACTTAAGGAAAAGATGCAAGACACTACAAACGCAGGAGGGGATAAAAACACAACATGTTCAAAGACTGATCTCCAATGATATTCATTAAAGTACTATTTATATGGAAGAAAATATAAATAATCCAATGCCTAAGAGAGAACGCAAAAAGGTATTTGTGATATAAATCTGTCTGTCAATGCAGCAGACACGAGTTCAATTCCTGGGTCGGGAAGATCCCCTGGAGAAGGGAATGGCAACCCATTTCAGTCTTCTTGCCTGGAAAATACCATCACCACAGTCCATGAGGTCAAAAAGAGTTAGACACGACTGAGCACACGCACATAAAACCACAGGCTACCAAAGAAAATATACAGTTTGGATCGATTCATATTAAAAAATACACACACTTGCACATGCGAGATACAAGCTGACTGGAAAGATACAGAGCAAAATGTTAACAGAGATTCTGAGTGCAGACATTATCAACGAGCTTTATTTTCTTTTTGCTATCTTCTGTATTTCCCAATGAATACTTAATAGGGACTTAAAAAAAGTTATTTAAAGATAAAAAAAGGATAGTACCTTAGTATGAAGATCTAAAAGCACCTTTCTTTAAGCTGAACTAAGCATCATTTTATTAACTGTATAAAAGTGTGAACTGCAGTATGGAGGGCTGACTTAATGGAGTCTATGGGAGAAACACACACAGGGCTGACAAAGCCTCGTCTGTGCTCTAAATGGCCCAGAACACCTGTCCTGTATCCTGAACACAGCACAGACTAATAAATGACCGTGAACTTAGGACTCATACATCTCTCCCAACATTAAAAAAAGTTCATTGCTAATGTTCCCTCAAAATTGCATCAGTCCAAGATATAATGCCCAAGTCCCAGTTCTTTTTTCCCCCAAACTTTAAACCTTTTATTGTTGTTGTTCAGTAGCAAAGTCGGGTCCAACTCTTTGTGGTCTCAGGGACTGAAGCATGCCAGGGTTTCCCGTCCTTCACTATCTCTTGGAGTTTGCTTCAACTCATGTCCATTGAGTCGGTGATGCCATCCAATCATCTCATCCTCTGTCAACCCCTTCTCCATTTGCCCTCAATCTTTCCTAGCCTCGGGGTCTTTTCCAATGTGTTAGCTCTTCGCATCAGGTGGCCAAAGTATTGGAATATAACCAATTCACAATGCTGTGACAGTTTCGCATGTACAGCAAAGGGACTCAGCCCTACATATATACGTCTACTCTCCCCCAAACTCCCCTCCCATCCAGGCTGCCACATAACATTGAGCAGATTTCCCTATGCTATACAGTAGGACCTTGTTGGTTATCCATTTGAAATAAAGCAGTGTGTACAAGTCCATCCCAAACTCCCAAACTATCCCTTCCCCTCGTCTTTCCCCCACTGGCAACCATACGCTCTTCTTCTAAGTATGTGAATGCTTCTGTTTTGTATGTTCATTTGTATCATTTCTTTTTATATTTCACATATAAGCAATATCATATGGTATTTCTCCTTTTTTGTCTGTCTCAAGTCGTATTTCTAGAATACCTGCAGAGTTCTAGATCCCTGCTTCCTGCTCACAGGTCTTGATTCAATAAGCTGCCCGGGGCCCTAAGGGCCTTTCCATGTGCTGTTCTCACTGCCTGCCACAGTGTGGCTGAGACCTTCTCAGGGCTCCCTCTTTAGCCTTGTTTTCAACATCACTCCAAAGTCATCTCCTTGGAGACCTGACTGTGCTTCTTAAAAGTAACACCAGGCTGGCGACACTTCCCTGGCGGTCCAGCGGTTAAAACTGCGCTTCAGCTGCAGAAGGTGTGGGTTCAATCCCTGTCAGAGGACTAAGATCCCATGTGCCAAGTGGTGCAGTATCAAAAAAAAAAAAAAAGACTAGCAGCGAGCCCCCTTCTCACGCCCACTCTCTGTAAGTATCTTATTTATTGGGTCCACATCTGTTTTCACGCCAGAATGCCTAACTGGCAGTGGCAGGAGTTTTGGCGTTCGCACGGCTAGGCCCAAGTGGCAACACCGGAGTTGATGTATAGTAGGAGCTCCATGTGTATTTGCTGAGCTGGTGACCAAGTCTACTAGGGCTAACACTGTCTTTGCCGACTCAGATCAGCTTGGGGAAGGGAATGGTCTTGAAGCTGTCTTGGTTGTCAGTGTTCTTCCTGGCTCTGAGTAGCCACGTTTTGAGTGCTAGTCCTGAAGTACCACCTTTGCTGTAGTACAAATAAAATACTCTTTTTTTTCAAAACTCGGGTTTCCCTGGTGGCTCAGTGGTAGAGAAGCTGCCTGCAATGCAGGAGATGTGGATTTGACTCCTGGGTCGGGAAGATCCCCTGGAGGAGGAAATGGCAACTCACTCCAGTGGTCTTGCCTGGAAAATCCCATGGATAGAGGAGCCTGGAGGGCTACAATCCATGGGGCTGCAAATAGTCGGACACGGCTGAGCACACTCACACACATTCTGAAACTCGGTTTTATTTTTGGAACAAACATTTGACCTTAGGCACTATCTAAGCTAGACCCCCTCTGGGTGTCAAAGAGGAGCGTGTTTCAGAGATCAAGCTATAATTCATGTCTGAGAGCTGGGCGTGCTCAGGAGCCAGGACCTAAACCAGCAGGACTTAATGTGGATTTGCTGGACACGTAGGGGAATGTCTGCCATGCCCACTGTGGGGCTCCCCAGGCGCCGGGCCCTGGGGAACCGGTGGAGCACCTGTGCTAATGCCCAACTGCTGAGGTCGCTGCCACTCACTGGCTGCTGACCTTCAGTGAGCTTCTAGACCCTTCTAAGCTTTAGTTTCCTCATTTGTACAAGGGAGATATTTATAGTACCCATCTTGAGGACTGCTGTGGGGATTAAGTGAAAGGATTAGTAAATATTCAATAAGCAGCAGTTATTATTAGCGCAGGTATCATCTTATCATCCACCCATGATTACAGAGGCGGTCCAGGGCCAGAGGGCATGCTGCTTGGTGGCCAGGCAGAAAGGAAAAAGGACACCCACTCATCCATCCGCTCCTGGAATCTTTACGGTGCTCCCCTGCCCCTCCACCCCACCCTGGGCCTCACAGCATGAGACCAAGCCCTGTCCTTTATCCCAAAGCCACTGACAAGCCCAGGGCACTGAGTACAAAATGCATTTAACTAACATCTTTTTTGTTTTTTCAATACCAACAACACAAGTTTACTGTAGAATAATGAAGACATTAGATAACTTTTTAAAAAAGAAAAATAAAACCACACACAATTTAACCATTCAAAAACAAAACAACTCATTGTTAACATTTTGGTGCATATCTTCCCATACTTTTATCTGTAATATATATTTGTGTATCAAAAGGTGGTCACAGTTGACAAACTGTCCCATTAATGGCACTTTCTTTTTATTACTTAACCATTTAATGTAACTAACACTATTTTTCAAGGCTCACATGGACCCACTGGATGGATAAATGATAATTTACTTAACTGACCTACATCTGGCAAGAATTTCTTTTTAATACTTTCACTATTTGTTGCTGCTGTTATTGTTTAGTCACTAAGTCCTGTCTCTTCGCGACCGCATGGACTGCAGCACACCAGGCTCTCCTGTCCTTTACTTTCTCCCAGAGTTGGCTCAAATTCAAGTCCATTGCATCAGTGATGCTATCTAACCATTTCATCCTCTGCCACCTCCTCCTCCTTTTGCCTTCAATCTTGCCCTGTATCAGGGCCTTTTCCAATGAGTCAGCTCTTCCCATCAGGTGGCCAAAGTATTAGACCTTCGGTTTCAGCATCAGTCCTTCCACTGAGTATTCAAAGTTGATTTCCTTTAGGAAATCATTTGCGCGACCAGATTCCAATAACCCCAAGCCTTTTCCCTTGGTTCCCCCAGCCCCAGGGATAGAGAATGGCTGCTTCCAACACAGATAATCTGTTACTCCAGTGTTCCTTATTATTATTATTTCTTGGCTGTGCCCCACAGCATGTGGGATCTTAGTTCCCAAACCAGATTGAACCTGTACTGTCCAAAGTGGAAGCGAAGAATCTTCTCCACTGGACTGCCAGGGAAGTCCCCAGATAGGAACACTATTTAAAGTGTCTGATGTGGATGGTCAATTTGCCTTCCAGAAAGGCTTTACCAACCTACATTCTCAGTTACACAGCACTGATTCTGCATACTAGTGACAGAAAGGCTGAAATAAGCTTTTGAAGATTAGTTTATTTTTCTAAAACCATTTTAACACTGGGTATTCCCATCTTAAATATAAGTTTGATAGGTGAAAAGAGGTACCTCATCTTTTTTTTTTTTTTTAAATAAATTTAGGATTACCTTCAATTCAGTGAAGCCTGACAGGTGCAGGGTACCATATGAGGTCCTGTTCTGTAAACAGCTGATGTACCAATTGTACCTGAATGGCCCGTGGTCCTCTCCTACCAGGGATAAGAGGTTAAGAAAAGGACAGGCAAGCCAAGCAAGGGCCTTTTACCCAGGAGTGCTCTCTGTTGCCAAGGTGGGCATGTTAACAAAACTTCAAGGGGCTTGTGGACTTCTTTAGGTTTAAGAGGGAAGTACAGAAACTTCCAAGAGATGACATAAGGTAATAGTGACGAAGCGGAAGAAGACAGACTCTTGAGCCTCAGAAGCAGAGAGAAATATGGGCACCATCTCAAAATGAGCAGAAGCAGGTCTTGATCAACTGAGAAGGGTTGGCTGTCACTGAACACAGAAGAACCATCAATCCACTGCTGCCTCTGTGAACAGCAAGGGACTGTGCTCATGGAGGCTGGGGTTTCTTTCAAGAGCAAGGCTAGTATATTCTGCTAAATGAGTGCCCAGAGTGTGCTAGGTTCAATAGAAGGTAAGAAGATAGACAGCACACTTCCTTTCCTGAGAAATATACAACTGGAGAAAAACTGTCCCATCAGTACAATCATGTGCCTTTGGTAGAAAACAGGTGAATGCGGCCTGCAGGTAACTAACTGGCTTTATGAAAATACATCTGCAGTTGAAAAGCCAAACTACGAATGGAAACTCAGAATAAAGTTCAACCAGAAGAGGAAGACCTCCTTGCAGAGTGTCTGGTATCTTCTCAATCTTATTCACCAGTGTTGCCCAGCACCTAGGACAGTGCCTAGCAAAGAGTAGACATTCGATAAATGTATAGAATTAGTGAATGAGTGAAGACTCTCAGAGATCCTAATTCCATTGGTTTCGGGGGGTGGCGGGGGGAGGTCCCAAGAATAAAACTAATGGTGTTAAGTTAGAAATTAAAATGAACCGGGTAGTGCTCCCCTGGTGGTGCAAGTGGTTAGGAATTCACCACCAATGCAGGGGACATGGGTTTGAAAACTACTGAAGTCCATGTGCCCTAGCAAGGGAGGCCACTGTAATAAGAAGCCTGAGCACCGCAGTAAAGAGTAGCCCCCACTTGCTGCAATTAGAGAAAGCCCATGTGCAGCAATGAAGACCTAGCACAGTCAAATATAAAATGAACCAGGTAATTTCAGATAAAAACATCAATTTGGTCTCAATGTAACCCCTCTACCTTTTTATGGATTCCACTGAATTATCAGTGACTAGTATGCATTAAAGAGAGTGGTCAGTGTAATGTTTCCACAACTTGAGCGGAAAATAACCGACAGTTTTTGTACTGCTGGTGGTGGGTTAGTGGGTGATACTTCTATGTGGACACTAGGAGATTAGGCAGCAGGTTTAAAGCAACTTCACCTGCTGGTTTCAGAGAATCCTGCCCACCTGTACACACCAGGAACATTACCTGTATAAAACTTCATCAGGGAAGGGACCAACAACTTGGTGGAGAGGGGATGGTTCTCGATCATTTCAAAAAACTTCTGGGTCCTTGGCTGAACAGCAGGGTTGGTCATGAACATGACTTCGACCAGTTTGGCCACCAGATACGGATTTCGGATGTAGTTCTGGTTACACAACATCACAACGAGGAACATCACAATATCCTGAGTGCAGGGCTCGTAAAGCACCTGAGGAGAGTATCTGAAGAGAGGCGAGAAGGACAGGTAGTGAAGCTTCGAGAGGCTCAACGTGGGTGGATGCTTCTGACTGGGCGAGGAAGGGGACGAGGAGGCTGAGGAACCAGGTTGCTGAAGGGCTTTAACTTGTTGATTTTAAGGTGACTATTCACATTATAACCCACCGTGCCTACTGACCACAGCATGCTACATTAACTTACATCTTGGAAAGTAAACCAAAGTTACAATTAAATCATAATTTTACAAAAGACCTTCACGACCAAAAAGACTTTAAAAAATATTTTGATGGAGTTTTCATTTTTTCAGATTTCAAATACTGCTTATAAACTCAACCTATTTTTTTGTAAGGTTTCTCTAATTTTACAGCTGAGAAAAATATTGGTACAAAATACAGATGTGGGTATTTCTGGCTTTTCAATGTTCACTCAGATATTTATAAACTGTTTCTCCTTCTGTTTCTCAGAAACATATATTCAGTTATTAAAAATTCAACTCAATTTTCACAGAGTACATTATTACTAGCATTGTTAATCCTGTTTCTGTCTTGAGATATTATTGGAATTGGCTTGGTGCCACAGCTGGATTTATTTTTCCAGTCTCTGGGCAGCATTCAGTGGCATCAAATGGAGGTTTGTAATACAATGTGTACATTAAATATAAAAACATATTATAAATATGTAATATGTGAATGGGACTTACTGTACAATAAAAAATAAAAATTCAGCAACATCTTCTACATAAAACTCAGGCAATGCTGCAAATACCTTGGGGACATCTGAATTTAAAGGCAGTGTTACACTGTCAAAGAGAGAAAAGTACAGGTTACAAAGTGAAATCGTGACACATCAAACTATGAGGACTAGAATACTACAATTACAATAAGTGGTTCATCTGGAAAAAGCTCTCATTCTATAATACAACTAAGTAAACAGTACACAGGCAAAGAAACTGCAACCAGAAATGAACAGGGAATCATGAAAATGGGGATGTGCTAAGGTGGACGTGAATACTGTTCCTTTTCTTGGTTTCCTGTTAAGGTTAATGCAATAAATAAAACGCGAAGGAAATAAAAGTGTCATGTTTGGTCATTTTATGCAGTTCAAACTGTTTAAGACAATACAGCCACACATTTATTTCTTTGCTTTTATATGTTTGAATTTCCTCTTTAATACTACACATAAATGCTTTTGCATTTAGAGGCAAAATGCAACTTTTGATTCTTTGGAAGGCATCTGCTTTATATATTCTTCTTTCTCTTCCATAATTCCTTATGTGAATGATTGTAACCATAATCTGTACCTATGTAGACTTTGAGGCTTCCCTGATGGCTCAATGGTAAAGAACCCACTTGCAATTTCAGGAGACCCAGGTTCGATCCCTGGTTCAGGAAGATCCCCTAGAGAAGGAAATGGCAACCCACTCCAGTATTCTTGCCTGAGAAATCCCATGGACAGAGGAGCCTGGTACGCTACAGTCCACGGGGTCACAGAAGAGTTGGACACGACTTAAGAGACTAAACAAAAACGAATATAGATTCTGAGGATTGGCAGAACTGGTTTAGAATTCCAATTCTTACCATCAGGGACATTTTTACTTTAAATACTATTTTCCATTCCTGCAGCTGGCTTTGGCCAACCTCCCCAACATTGATGATCTGGAGATTTCATAATAACCATAAAATTGTAACAAAGAAAACAAAAATGGCTGTCTGGAGGAGCTGTCCAGGTGATGATAAAGAGATCCATGATGTTCTTGGTTCATTCTTGGAATTGACTAGAGGTCTGCCTGGACCCAGTGCTTGGGGGGACCCAATACCCTGTTAATCCCAACTTTTCACTTCAGATTAATAGATTTCCTTTTTTATTAAAGATTTTAAAGCTAATTTTCAAAAAGCTCTCTCTCAAAATTAACCTAAGAAGTGTTGACAGTCCTTCACTACTGTAACTAATTTCAGAGAAAACAGCTATTAACATCACTACTTTCATAGTCTATCTAAGTACAATCTGGAAATGCATTCCTTATTACATTATCCCAGGTCCTGGTTTTGGGTGTCGGCTCTGTAGAGCAATAAAGACAACACGGCCTGGATGAGTGGAGATGGGGAGGAAGACAGAGCAACTCACTCCGGGTAGGCAGGGTCCAGGAGGCGGAGCAGCAGCTGAATGAGAAGGCCGTAGAAGTTCAGACATCTTCTCAGAAAGCTCTCATCAAGCAAGCCAGCATCAGCACAGGCCTTGCATCGTACCAGTTTCTGTGGAAGCAGGTATGTCCCCATTCATAGATTAGCTGGTGGCTAAGTCCCTATGTGTGGTCACAGGCAGGGCATGGGCCAGGAGATGGGAAATCTAGGCTCCAGGGCAGCGGTCCCCCACCTTTAGGGCACCAGGGACCAGTTTCGTGGAAGACAATTTTTCCACAGAGTGGGATGTAGTGGGGTGGGGATGGTTTTTTGGGGTGATTTGAGCACATTATATTTATTTTGAACTTTAGGTTTATTATTACATTAGCTCCACCTCAGATTAGGCATTAGATACTGGAGGTTGGGGACCCCTGCTCTAGGGCTTCCAGAGCATTAGCACTAATGGGCTGTAAGATGCTGTTTGTGTCTCAAGAGCTTCCTCTGCTCTAAGAAGGTGAGGCATGTGAACCACTGGGCATAGTTTAGTGCTGAAAAGGCTCAGTCATCACTGTCATTTGAAAAACTTGACAAGACAGACCCTTTGGAAGTCAGTGGTGGTTACTGAGAAGGAGCCTGACATATTCACATCTAAATTCCAGGTCAGTACTTAAGCTCATCTTGGGCAAAATGCTCGTCCACCAAGGGTAAAACACCCATCTCAGAGGATCACTGTGAGTTTAAACATCCACATGCACACACATTACATATAAATGTCAACAGTTTCCAGACTTCTTGAAACCTCTCTCTGAAGTGCTTAAGGGGTCTACAGACCCCAGAAAAGAGTCCCTGGCTTATTCTGCTTCTCAAAGAGGTTTCTACTCCATTAGTAAATAAAACTGAAAATCTTAACTTGTACTAGAAATCTAAGTCAGGTAAAATTTCTACATATCATCCTACTGTAACAGAAAACATGGCCAGCTAACATTCAGCTTTGTAATCTGAATATAAAAACAGAAAAATGAATCCAATTGCTGTCTGTGCTTCCCTTGTACAACTTTAGCTAGTGTTTGTTTTCAGCCACTTTTTTTTTTTCCCAGCCACGTTTATAAGCTTCCTTATATGTTTATAAGGGCTTCCCTCATAGTTCAGTTGGTAAATCATCTGCCAGTAAATGCAGGAGACCTGGGTTCAACTCCTGGATCAGGAGGATCCCCTGCAGAAGGAAATGGCTACCCACTCCAGTATTCTTGCCTGGAGAATCCCACGGACAGAGGAGCCTGGCGGGCTACAGTCCATGGGGTTGCAAGAGTCAGACACAACTTAGCGACTAAACCACCACCACCACGTTTATAAGCAGAAATCTTCCCGTCTACAGTTAGGTTCTATACAATGGATCATTTTCAATTCAACGGAGAATGAGGGGCAAAGGAAAGATAGCTTTCCACTACCACAAATCCACTTTGTCAAACATGAAGATGTGTGGTTGGACAAACTGGCGTGTGTGTGTTTCTGGGTACGGAGTCAGGGTTAGTAGAGGGGGAACATCTTGCATGAGGTAAGGAAAGGGAGATGATGTTCAAGGATGATAATATCCATGAAGAATTCATATAATTACTGGCACACGCTATGCATTTTTGGTCCTGAGATTTACATATACATAGAAACAATCAACACGCATTTAAATGTACCATTTTTATCTTGGGGGAAAAGAATAATGAGGAAAGAATGAGGACATTAAACTGTTCATTCAAGGCACATATTCTGGTGGGAAAATTCCTACTGTGAGGCTGATCCACAGTTACCCCAGTTAACTATACAGACCTTAAGCTGAGTTTTGCAGCGTTTCAGCATCTCACGGTGTCTGGTTGCCAGTGGGGAGTCTTTCCATTGGCTTTCATTATTTTTCAGATCTTCCACAGTTCTGAAATTAAAGACTAACAGTCAAATGAAAGAAGACACACAGATCCATCATCCATCGTATCTATTCATCTTCACAATTTCATTGACTCTCAGACATATATCCCCTCTCCCTCCCCCACTACATAAGCATCACTAAAATCGATGGGAACTTATGGTTATGTTGGCAGCATTCATCTTTTCTATTGGTTCCCAACATAATACCTTAAAGTGGATGGCATTTTAGATTTGGTGAAATACAGTAATTATTACTTTTGGAAGGAAATATTGTTTCTTGTTTTTCTGGGAAGGAGAAAATGAAGTCTCAGGAAAAATCAAGATTATTATGCCTACTCAATTACCCAAACAAAAGACAATTTGACTAGGCATTTTCCCCTCTGCCTGGAATGTTCTTCTCTAAGGTTATCTCTGTGACTTACTCCTTCACTCTCTTCAACTGTCTCCTCAAATATCATCTGTCATTGAGGTAAAGCCTTCCCTGATCATGGAATATGCTGCATATTTTAAAGGCTGCCTCACTTAACACATTTCAACCCATTCTATCAAAACATGGTGTAGAAAACTACACAATGATACATATATATTTTTGTATCACTGATAACATATATATTTTTTTCATTTTTGGTTGCTCTGGGCCTTCGTTGCTACATGCGGGTTTTACTCTAGTAGTGGTGAGCAGGGGCTACTCTCTAGTTGCAGTGCATAACTTCTCATTTCGGTGTCTTCTCTTGTTGAGGAGCACAGGCTCCAGAGCTCGTGGGCTTCAGTAGTTGTAGCAAACCGGCTTAGTTCCTCTACACCATGTGGAATCTTCCTCTGTCCCCTGCATTGGCAGGTGGATTCTTATCCACTGTACCACTAGGGAAGTCCAGTGATATATTTTTCAAAAGTATATTTATTTCCCAGACTCCCTTGTGGCCAGCACTTCTGCACATGACCTAGCTCCTACCAAGAGGTGAACCCTCATTGGAGGTAGAAGTAAATACAGTGAAGAGATAGTCACATGGGTCTTCTGGAAGCACAGTGTAGAAGGGTTTTGGCTGAAGTGCTGGCAGAGTCTAAACTTTGAAGCAGCTTCCTGGCAGGCCCAGTTCAAAGGAGAGCTCTGGGAGTCCTCTTTTCCAGGCCTTCCTCAATAAACCAAATAACAGCCTTTAATAACCCTCTTTCTACTAACCTCAGATAAAGTGGATTCCTTTGTCTACAACTGGAACATGACATGATAGACAGAGTGCCCGCCCCCTACCCCTACCCTGGCTTCCCAACCACCACGACCAAGATGTCACAGCTTAATCCCAAGGAGCTGTGAATATGTTGCCTTACATGGCATAAAGTGTAGTCGCTCAGTCGTGTCCGACTCTTTGCGACCCTGTGGGCTGTAGCCCACAGACTGCTTGGCCCATGGGATTTTCCAGGTAAGAATACTGGAGTGGGGTTGCCATTTCCTTCTCCAGGGGATCTTCCTGATCCAGGGATTGAACCTGGGTCTCCTGCATCACAGGCAGATGCTTTACCCTCTGAGCCACCAGGGAAGCCATATGGCAGAAGGAACCTTGCAAATATGATTAAGGGTTTGGACCTCGAGATGAGGAGCTTGTCTTGGATTGTCTGGGCAGGTCCCATGTCGTCATAGGGTCTGAGTGAAGAGAAGGAGAGGGAGTCAGAGAAGAGGGAGAAGAGAAGGAGAGGTGACCAGTGAAGCAGAGGCCAGAGAGGCAGCGAGCTGAAGATGCTACCCTGTTGCCTGGGAAAATGGAGGAAGGGGCTGTGGGCCAAGTGGTCTCTTGCAGCTAGACAAGGCAAAAAAAAAAAAAGAGATTCTTCTTTAAAGCCTCAGAAGGAATGCAGCCTCAGTTTTAGGACTTCTAATCCCCAAAACCCTAAGACGATCATTTTTGTTATTTTAACACACAAAGGTCATGGTAGTCTGCTGGAGCAACAAAAAGAAGCTAACGTAATAACCTGTATGGTTATTGGCAGGAAGAGGTTGCAGGTAACAGACCCTCAAGGAAAACAGGCTCTGGGATTATTAGTTCTTCAACTGGGCTGGTTTCAAAGTGATAAAGATTCATTGAGCATTTGAGGGCGTAACACCAGAAGCCCAAGATTCTCGGTGGAAAAACAGCTGCATGAACAACCACTACTGATTTCTGGGAATGAAGAGATCGAGTGGCTATGCATGAAGACACTGGGGCATTCACACGAGGAAACTACAGGTTCCAGGTTTTAAGATCTCACCTCAAGGAAAAGCTAGTGAGTCAGGGCGTTTCCAGGATGACCATAAAGCAGCACAATCTGGTCCACACAGAGCACCAGATTACAACACAGACTGCATCCATAACCTCACTGGATCTCTTATCTGAACATCAGAGAGAAGGCTGGGATTCCAAGAATTCAAACGGAGGGGTTCTAGAGAACCCGAGCACCCAGCCCCACCTAAGTCTCCTGAGCCCCGTTTGAGAGCAGCAGCACCGTCTGTGGTGACTGTAGCTGAGGTGGTCACACTGCAGGATGACGCCAGCTTCCCTAAGGTCCCAACCCACCATATTTCGTTGCTTCCCCCATGGCTGGAGTAAGATCGCTGTCCTTAAGGGTCAATTACAAAGTTATGTTAGAAAAACAAACAGACTTGCTAATATGTTGTATTAGCTTCCTATTGCTGCTCTAACAAATTATCACAAACTTACTGGCTTGAGACAGCACAAGTATAGCCTTAGGATTCCAGAGGCCAGAAACCTCCAGCGGGTCAGCAGACATGCATTACTTCTGGGGACCCTAGGCGGGAGTGTTTCCTTACTCTTTCTAGCCTCCAGAGGGGGCCCGCATTCTTTGGCTTGTGGACCCACACCACTCTGATGTCTGCTTCTGTCATCACATCTCCTTTCTCACTCTGCCCCCGCTGCCTCCCTCTTGAAAGGACCCTTATGATATACTGGGTCCACCCAGATAATCCAGGAAAATCTCCCTATCTTAAGATATTACATTCAATCACATCTGCAAAGTCTCCTTCACCATGCAAGGTGACACATTCTCAGGTTCTGGGGGAATAGGATGTAAACATCTTTGTGTGCTCAGCCAGTCAGTCATGTCTGATTCTTTGTGACCCTATGGACTGTAGCCCAACAGGCTCCTCTGTCCATGGGATTTTCCAGACAAGACTACTAGAGCATGTTTCCATTTCCTACTGCAGAGGATCTTTATGACCCAGGGATCAAACCTGTGTCTTGCATCTCCTGCATTGGCAGGCAGATTCTTTGCCACTAGCGCCACCTGGGAAGCCTAGTGAAAATCTTTGGGACACTATTATTCTACTTACTATATATGCAGTGACAGAAATTCAGCACTAAGTGGGGAATAGATTCTGAACATCCTTGATCAGCAACAGAGCATCATGCTAACAAACTCCTATGTGGTGATAACTTCATTGACATGAATACAACTTCCAGAGGCTCTGGATTCAGTCTTATTCTGGGTAACCAGGACGGGCTCTGTGTGCCCAGCTGGCTGTCTAAAACCTAGAATTCACAGTGATCTCTGCTAAATGAAGCCGTCAAGAATTCCTTGAGATAATTCAGAGGAAGGAGTTAAAAATATAAGAAGATGGGAATATCAATGTAGATTTACTATATATGACTAGCTCAGAAAACCACCCTCTCAAAACACACACATGCCCTAACTATGTCCCGGAAGACACTTCTTGTATCACAGCACTGAAAAATATACAGGTAAGGGGAACACCAACATCTCTGAAAGGCACTGACTCCCCCCGTAGGCTGGGAGTGCAGGTGGCAGATGGTATCACTGAAAATGTATCCTCCAGAGTCGGTGAGAATGATGGGACCACAGGATGCCATCCATTCCAGGATGAAGGAACAGATATAACACAGTTTGAAATTTTTATAAGTCTCTCAATAACTGATATTATAAGCTGATAAAAGCAGCAGACAGAAGGAAAATTTGAACAAAATATAAACAAACGACTCAATTGATATATGTAAAACACTGCAACAAATGACATTGAAAGTGAGTTTTCTTCTTTTTACTTTTATTATCTTGACTGTGGAATCTTAGTTCGCTGACCAGACCAGGGATTGAACCTGGGCCCTTGGCAGTGACAGTGAGTCACCCTGACCACTGAACTGCCAGGGAATTCCTGCAAGTTCTTTTCTTCTATGGAATGCTTACTAATTTAAATGTTGGCTACAAAGTAGATCTCAATAAAGTACAAAGTACACAGTGGAAATTAGCTAGAAATCAATAACAAGAAATAAAGGAACAAATACTCCAGGAATCTGAAACTTAAAAAAAACCTATCTTTATATAATCCACAGGTCAAGATACTATGAATAACTTAATGCCTAAGCATTTTGAAACTTTCAGATACCACGGGAAAACTGACAGAAGATGACATGAAAATCTATACAGTCTTATGTCTATTAACAATAAAATACCTAACTTAGAAGACTTCCCACAAAGAAAGTTCTAAGCCCTGACAGCTTCATCAATGCTTCCAAATGTTAAAGGAAGAAATAACTCTTACACAATAAACACCTCAAAAAATACAAAAAGAGGGACTATTTCAGAATTCATTCTACACGACAAGCATTGAGAAGGACTCACTTTTAGGCTTCCCTGGTGGCTTAGATGGTAAAGAGTCTGCCTGCGGTGCGAGAGACCCAGGTTCGATCCCTGGGACGGGAAGATCCCCTAGAGAAGGAAATGGCAACCCACTCCAGGATTCTTGCCTAGAGAATTCCAAGGACAGAGTAGCCTGGTGGGCTACAGTCCATGGGCTTGCAAAGAATCGGACATGACTGAGAGACTTTACTTAAGTCTTAGTAAGAAACAAAATCACAGGTCAATCTTCTTTTTGAATATAGGCTCAAAAACCCTAAACAGAATATTAGCAACTAATATCCAATGAGAAAAAGCAATAACACAGAGTTGAGTTTTTTCCCAAGAATGTATGCTTTGATATCAGAAAGCCAACTTATATAATTCAACCACATGAATAAAATAAAGGGGGAAAAAAAAATCTGACCTCCTCACAGAGATAGAAAATGCATTTAATAAAAATGCATTTAATCAACTCGAATTAAGAACAAAAATCTTTTAGAAAATCACAAAATAAAAGGGAATTTCTTTATCTGGTAATAGAAGATATCCAAAAAACTTCCCCCATTAACTTGAATAAAAAAATTTCAAGAAAGCTATCAATATTTCTACTCAAGGCTGTAGTAGAAACTGTAGCCAGGGCAGTGAGGCATGAAAAAGAAAAGAAAGGACTTCCCTGGTGGTACAGTGGATAAGAATCTACCTGTCAATGCAGGGGAAATGGTTTGATCCCTGGTCCAGGAAGACTGGAAGATCCCACATGCCTTGGAGCAACTAAGCCCATGCGCCACAACTACTGAGCCTGTGCTCTATAGAGTCCAAGAGCTGCAACCACTGAAGCCCATGAGCCTAGAGCCCGTGCTCCACAACAAGAGAAGCCACTGCAATGAGAAGCCTAAACGTGACAACAGGGTAGACTCTATTAGCTGCAACTACAGAAAGCCCATGTGCGGCATGACATAAACAAACTGTCATCATTTACAGACAAGATTATGTATCAGGAAAAAAAACTTTAGAAAGCTACCAGTAATGATTAGAATTAGTTAAGTGATTAATTCTACTTTAATTCAAGGCAGATAACAGATACCACTACAGCACTCCTGGACCAAACCAGTGGTGGAAATGGCTGCTCCATTATTATTACAGCTGATCTGCTCAAAAAAATGTCTGCCTCCTATTCCTGTGGCTTTGGTTTGTTCGCAGGTGTTGATCCATGGGGAGAAATGCTCAGGTTAAGAAATATAACAATGGTGTTAATGAATGGGAAATTGAGGCTACTATCTGGCCATTTTTGACTTCTTATGCCACAGGACAACATGCAAAAAATAAAGTGAATTACAATGTTGGTATGAGTAAATGATCTTGTTTATTAAGGGAAACCAAAATTAATGTTTCACAGTCCTGGGAAAGAGGGGTATGTCTAAGACCCAAGAGATCCTTTAAAGTGCCTTCTGATAATAGGGTGCCCAGTAGAAAAAGTTCACAGAGGTCTCAATCACATTCCAAGGGCTGGGAACTCTAAGAAATCTAAGTCTGGGTCCCTTAACTTGTAAAGAACTCTGGCCAGCCAAGGACCACGGATGTGGCAGGAGAGGCAGACGGTGCTCTGTAACACACATGCCCCTCACATTCGAGGCTGCTGGTCACAGGGGACTGCACGCTCGTGAGAAGGAGCGGTGGCTCGTGCCACCTCAGGGCACGGCGTCACACACGTACCTATTGAGCTCCCGGATGGCCCGCAGTCTGCGGATGTAGCGACGGCAGCTGGGCAGGATTGAGAGGTGGTGGGCCTGCAGGGTGAGAAAGAAGCATTCCGTAGGGAATTTCGGCTCAGAAAATGGAGGCTGATCTCCATCTAGGAAAAAGCACAAAATCCCAGCAATAAAATCTATCACATGACTGTATTAGCAAAGAGTGCAATTAAGAAGACAAAATTACACTTGAATTTTCAAGAAGTTTAAGGACACATTTAAAAATTAAACAGTATTATTTTAAGAAAAACAGATTTCCTGTGAGCTGCATTTAATGATCACATACTCTGCTTCATCTGATTAAATGTTTACACAGATGTACACTAATGATCTTTTATGATGCGTCTTCCTGGTGTTTTTTATATAAACATTTCTACTATTCAAATGTCACTCTTATGGGAGGGAGATTCAAGAGGGAGGGGTCATATGTATACCTATGGCCGACTCTTGTTGTTTTCTTTAACAGAAAACAACAAAATTCTGTAAAGCAATTATCCTTCAATTAAAAATATATAAAATTAAAAAAACACATCATTGTTAAACCTCAAAATGGGACTAAATTATGTAAATAAGCCCGTGTTGGACTTATTTAAGTGGATTTTTCCCCCCTCTACTCAGGAATCACTTTCAAACCCAACATCTGGCAACATAAAATATGGTATCCATTTTTCTTGCATTCCTACTTTTCTGTTTTCTAAATTTCTGTTTCCCTTAAGAATGAGCTTGCTCCCTTTACTACTGACAGGTATGAAAACGAAACACCTGCGAACAGCATCGAAATATGTATATTATCTAGGGTGAAACAGATCACCAGCCCAGGTTGGGTGCATGAGACAAGTGCTCGGGCCTGGTGCACTGGGAAGACCCAGAGGGATCGGGTGGAGAGGGAGGTGGGAGGGGGGATCGGGATGGGGAATACATGTAAATCCATGGCTAATTCATTTCAATGTATGACAAAAACCACTGCAATGATGTAAAGTAATTAGCCTCCAACTAATAAAAATAAATGGAAAAAAAAAAAAAAAACAAAAACGAAACACCTGGAAGGAAGAGCTCAGATCAGGGAGTGTGGTACCATAAGGAGAGCCCAAGGCTCAGCTCAGAACACTTGAGCAGCAGCTGCAATGTGCTGACTGACAGTCTAGGTGAGCTGGGCACCTTCTGGAATCTCAGTCTCCTTGTGTGCAACTTGTATGAAGTAGAGTTGCTATTAAGATATTAAAGTTCTCTTCCTGATAATCCCATAACAGCAGTTTTAAGGGGACAGGAGTCAATGAAAACTGACCCTAAGAATGGAGAACAGCAGCAAGGGCAAGAGGGAATTAGTGGTTGGGGGGAGTTGGGAGGTGACAGACAGGGACGCTCTAGCTGGTGTCAGACTCAAACTGTGGAATGCTGCTGAGTCCAAATGGATCCTTCTCATATAGGATGTGTATATCTATTCTATGTTTTTGTTTTTAATTAAAAGAAAACAGAAGGGTGATGTTTTCATGACCTAACAGTGAACACATCACTCACAAAGTTCAGCCAGCCAGTCATTCACATCTTCCATCGTCGCATTCACTCTGGTCTCGTCGTTGGGAAGCGTGATCCGACACCTTGGGTGGAATATGTACGTGGGGTCGACTGTCTCTAACTTGATCTTTGTACTAAGTTGCTGCAGTACCCAAAGGAAATTCAGCATGAATCCGTCTGTTGACACCAACCTATCGTCTGTCTGCGAAACAGAAAGTACCGAAAGTCACGATGTGAACAGGAATTCTGGCACAATTTTATAAGAAAGAGGAGCAGATTTTCATCCTCAAGTCAGTGAGGGGACATCCACGTTGTTGTCATAGAGCTCTGCTGGTAGGTTCGATTTGTTGAGTGTTAAGAATCCCATGGACAGAGGAGCCTGGCAGGCTATAGTCTATGGGGTCACAAGAGCCAGACACGACTGAGTGACTAACCACACAGTACAACTGTGTGTGAAGGGTTGTCTTTCACTGAATCTCTCCACAACAGCCCTTAGAACTGAGTGATACTATTATTCACATTTTAAAGAGGAAGAAACTAAGGATCAGAGAATTTACATGATTTACCCAAGATCCTCAAGATCAGTAAAGAGAAACACAATAAATGTTGTTTCCTTTCTTTTCTTTGTTCTTCTCAAAAACATCAGAACTAGTTTCACTGTGACTATTAGACGAACAGCTTCTCGGGCTGACAGTGTTAGTGCAATCCTGCTTCATGAATATAACACTTCTAATAATGATAGTTAACATCCGCGGAGTGTTCACGATGCACTGGGCGCAATCCTAACATACACTAAGTCCATGAGTCAGTACTATTATTATCCCCACTTGGCAATGAGGAAATAGGGGCACAGAGAACCACTGTCCCACTGCTGGCCGATGATGGAGCCCCAACTGGAAATCAAGGTGGTCTAATAACAGGTCCATGCTCCTCTGTTTTTTCTTCTGAGTAGAAATGTCACGCTGCTCATGAATAAAACAGCAAGGATGTCCTTTTAACTTCTCCACTCTGGTAAAGTGGTCTCAGTCACCAGTCTCCCTCATCAGGAACTGTGTCCTTACACTGGGTCTCCTGGGATTGGCTCCTGTACCCTGTCCTCCTATGTCAGCCCACCCTCTAGGCAGCAGCCTTGATGGCTTCCTTCCTGAAGATCCTCCTTGGTACGGTGGCCCACTTCTCCAGCCCATGACTCCCCAGTTTCTTTCCTATTCACTATCCTTCAGTCACAAAAGCCTGAAAGTAGAGCTTATTCTAAAGTTGATTCATTCCCACCTTCATGCATCACATAAATCTAGAAAGCTCTTTTCTCAGCCTTGCGATGGCTGGCTCTTTTTTTCTTTTTTTAAAACTTAATCTGCATGCAGGATTTTTAAAAATTAATTTCATATTTTGGCCACTACTTCCAGCATATGGGCTCTCAGTTCCCCAAACAGGGACGGGGATTGAACCTGCGCCCCCTGCAATGCAAGCATGGAGTCTCAACCACCAGGATGTCAGGAAAGAAGCCCTGCATGGCTCCTCCTTCTCAGCCAGGTATTTAACCAAATGCCTCCTCCTTGGACAGTCCATGCCTGCCTTCTGGTGCCGACAGCTACTTTCAAGTCCTCTACCTTCCTTTATTGGCTTCATAGATTCCACGACAGTCTGAAATGATATATTTACATGTCTATTCATTGACCCTATAGAACATAATAAGCTCCGCAAAGGCAGGAAGCTTGTCTCTCTGTATCTCCATTCCCTAGAATAAGGCTGGGTGGGAACTGAATGAATTAGATGAATGAATTTAATAAATATATAAAAGCAATCTTCAGGAATCTTACCTGCATCTGTGCTTTCTTCATATTGGCATTGACAACAGCTGCCATGTAACTAAGAGCGGCCTCACGGGTTTCACCATTTAACAAGATACTATGCAGGATCTTGAAAAGCTCTTGCTGAAATTCATTTTATAAGGGAAGGAAAAAAAACAAAAACTTTGTTTAAAAAAATGATTCCTTTCTGACTTTGAGGAAAGCCAAACTCCTTCCCACTTTTCTCCTCGCCCACATCCACTCATTGTAAAGAACTTGACTACAAGAACATAAGAAAAGTCCACATTCTACTGTGTCCAGAGGATTGGCATGAAAGCAGAATGTGGAGTGGAGGAGGGAAGCAGTTGAAGTTTTAATAAAATAGTCTCTGCTATTTCCTTTCCAGGATAGGACCAAATTACCTGAATTACACTGCAATTAGCCTCTAACTGTGCTGCTTTTAACTTCCGGAACTGAAAACATATTCATCTTTTGGATTCATTTTCTGAACACCTACCCTTCCTAGCTCCAAGTAATGCTGCAGAGACTGGCTCACCACTCGAGTGTTTTCCAGGGTAATGGCGGGCCCTGAGAAATATTTTTCCACCACTTTTGCCTGCAAAGAGAAAGCAGAAGTCCAATCCACGTATGATGTACATTTGGGAAGGAATCTGAACATAAGAGCAGCAAGGTGGAAAAGGCTGCTGTACTTACATCATCTTCTGCAAAGACGGAGAAGCTGAAGAAAGCCCCCAAGTATGACAGTCTCTGCAGCTCCCGCCCAGAGCCAGGGCTTAAAGACTTAGGCAACCACAACGGCAAAGAAGCGACCTGGGAGGAAAACAGAAGAGGCCACTAAATCAGCAAGGGAGGTAAACTAGAGACAAACGGAGTTCCAAGCAGCCAGCCTGTTCAGTGATTCTTAGCCACCGACAAAATGGCTGCCATGTGACCTCCAAAAACACAACAGTCACAGATATGTTAGGATCCCAATCCATTTTTTTCTCATTTCAGATGGAGGAAAACCCTCTACATCTTTACAAGATACCATTTCTTTTGTTTGTTTTGACCCCACAGCATGTGGGATCCTAGTTCCCCAACCAGGGGTTGAACCTGCATCCCTGCATTGACAGGAGGATTCTTAACCACTGGACCCCCAGGGAAGTCCCTACAAGATACCCTTTTCATTTCTGTGTTTCAAGATATACTTTGATATCATTCAAATGAGCCACTGTTCAAAGGACTCAAGAAAATGTTTCTAATAGGATGTGTTATTCTAGCTACACAACACTTAACCCCCTAAAAAATTACAAAACAAAGTGAATAATGTCAGCCCAGGAAATAATGCACGTGACAACAATGTAACAGTTGAGAGTCACCCACATGGATGAATCATATCCACATCTCACGTCCCTCAAGAGATATTTTTCAGATACCATTACTTAAGGAATCTCTTCTATGCTACCTGTTCACTGAAAATATGCAAACCTATGGGGCAGTGCTTACCAAATTGCACACAGGGTGTGTCTTTCCAAACTTGGTTTCACAGAGCTCACCTAAAGCCTAGAGACAAGATCAGAAAAGGTCATTTAAGTGTATTTCATCCTAAACTGACTGCCATGTGTAACATCAAGACATAGCTTTAATATGCTTTAATATGCTGCTACAAATATGTATGCATTCCCAACAAAGTACTAATACCTTCAGTGCTTTTCTGATGCATAAATACATGCATGTTGCTAAAAAAAAAAAAACCAAAACTTCAGATAAACAAAGTTAAAAAATGAAACTAAAAATCACTCATGAACTTTACCCTCAGAGATAAACCTCTAATGATATTTTGGCTACCAGCTTTACAGACATTTTTTAACATATACACATAGAGATAAATGAGTATATTCTTAGAATAAATGGTTTTTCATTTAACATCCTTCTATATCAAAAAGATATGCTTCATAAACACTAGATGGCTAGTTCTGCCAGTATTAAACAGGGTTATAAACAATTAAAATTTAGTAAGTTACTGGATCCACAATATAGTTGAAAGTATTCTTTGATTTCAAGATCCCTGGTTTTTTGGGAACCTCAATGTTTTCCTTTGGGGACCTGATCATTCTCATGTTAGAGAACCAGGAAAAGTAGCTTTTAGGCACATAAACACAGCTTACTATGCCACAGTCATACTAAAACCATTTTAACAGTGACTCTTAATTCCCTCTGTGATTTGGACGTTTTTGTGAAAGCTGCTAAACCAACCGCTGGAAGCTTCTGAGTCAATGCATGCAGGCATGGACACATCTCTGACAAAGAAACGTTCGCCTCGCCTGGAGCCAGGTTCCCAACTTCAGCTGCACTGTTAGGATCATCCGGGAAACCTCTGAAAGGCCAATGCCAGGCCACACCCTCACTACACCACCAAAGAACTAAATCACAATACTTGAGAGTCAGGTAGAGGTATTTTTAAAAAGATCCCCAGGTGATTCCAAGGTACAGCAAAGCTGGGATCCACTGACCTAGAAGATAATGACCATGATTCTTTCTGATCCTAGCTCCAAGGGTCTTCGTCTTCCTGCCTCAGATTACTGCCCTTTCTCTCCGGCTGCACAAGCATCAGTAATCGCACAAAATAAAACTATTGTCTGTCATAATGGAGGCTTTTGTCTTTCGACCCAGAAGAACATTTTGTTGATATCTGACACTAAAAGCTCCTTACTGAAACATTAAGCTAATTCAAACCACAACAGAAAAGCCAACAATTCCAGGAGGGAATATTTACATAAAACAGTGATAATTCATGTGAACTGAAGGATTTAATCACTGAACTCAAATCATCAGATTATTCTACTTCCTTTTATGTGCTACAGACAGAACAACGTATGAGGATTCACAGAATTTCATGGGGAACCTGAGTAACATGTGCAGTGGGAAGAACGCTGACATAAATTCATTCAAAATTATTTTTCAGACCACGACTTCCTGCCTCACTTTTTATTTATCCAGTGTTGTGTTTAATGTTTAGCCTCTTAGCTCAGTTTCGATTTTCTGAAATAGTTAAATACACTTCTGAGTTCACATTGACCTTGGTGTAATATTTGACTGTGTTGCTGTGGTCTTGATTTTTGCAGTAGATTACGAGCACTTTTGAAATGTGGTGCTGGAGAAGACTCTCTTGAGAGTTCCTTGGACTGCAAGGAGATCAAACCAGTCAATCTTAAAGGACATCAGTCCTGAATATTCAGGACTGATGCTGAAGCTGAAACTCCAATACTTTGGCCAACTGATGTGAAGAGCTGACTCACTGGAAAAGACCCTGATGCCGGGAAAGACTGAAGGCAGGAGGAGAAGGGGACGACAGAGGATGAGATGGTTGGATGGCATCACCGACTCGATGGACATGAGTTTGAGCAAGCTCCAGGAGTTGATGATGGACAGGGAAGCCTGGCGTTCTGCAGTCCATGGGATCGCAAAGAGTTGGACATGTCTGAGCGACTTAACTGATGAGCACTGTGTGGAAAGGAGCCTTGTTTCATGGGCTCCTGTGTCCCCGCCGCTGGCACAGTGGGGGCCCTCAGGAAGCAATAGATTATTGGCAAGATGGAATCAAGTCAGTAGAATGAGTAAAACTGAACAGAAGCAGCGCAACACATTAATTTAAACAAGGCCTCAATTTACACAAGGTTGTATTTATTCCTAGAGCTAACTAATTTCATGTTTTGATATTTTTCTTTCATACTTTTAGAATGAAAATTATTCAGTAAGGCTTCAAAGTACTTTTCTCATGAAAGTTTAAAGAAACGAATTCAGAGAAGAAAAGAGCCTCTTATTTTCTTTCTGGTGGTAATATTTTCATGACAGTGGAGACCCCTGGTGAGAATCCAGCCGAAAGTTCTGTCCACAATTTACGCTTGCTCTAAGTGTCTGCAGGAGCTGAGAAGATCTGGGTTTTTCAAGTAAAGTCTGAAAGGAAGTGCACAGCCTCAGAAAATGGGGAAGATGAACAAGAGAAATCACTCAGTGATTTTCTGTACAAAGTCACTACATAAAGATAAAATTGTATTTCTTTTCTTAGTTTAACTCTTTTTAGTTGCATTTGTCTTAGTTCCTTTTTTTTTTTTCCTAATTAGCAAAATTTCATCCTAAATACATTATGTTCATTGCTAGGACAATCAGAAAGGGTATCGCAGATGATTACTGTCTTCGTAAGCTACAGGATAAGGTGAAGTACATTCAAATGCCTCCATCACTGACTCCTGTCTAGGACTCCGATGGTTCAATAGGTGCCATGCTGCTAACTGTCTTTACAGATGCAACAAACACTATGCATGGCCAATACAATGCTTTCACGTTTTACATTTGAAAACAAAGTTGATCGTGGACCTGGAAGAGAAGTGTAGGTTAAAATCATTTGGAAGAAAAACATCAACTGAATGGGTTACAAGAAAAAGAACAAAGTTTTACCATGAGGGGGTATTTAAAGTAGTCACTATCGAGGGAGCACTCTTTGGCAGCAAGAGCCAGGCCTTGTAAAATGGGGATAAAGATCTACAAGACAAAAAAAAAAATCATAAATATAAGTTTAAGAAAACGCATGTCAAATAAAGTGCCAAATCTGCAAGTCCAGGCATTTGCACAGCTTCCCCAAAGAAAGGCTGTTTTGCATAGAAAGGAGCCTAGAATCTAGCCACAGTGTGTTGTTTTGTCTTTTTGCAAGGCTGATCTTAAAGTAATACAGCTGAATCCTCCAGAAGGAACAGGTTTGGTGAACCCTAAACCTCTGACAAGACTCCCTGTAATTTAATAGAAACTCACATATTTGGAGTTTGCTGTAGGACTCTGCAGGGCTCCTTGCTCCAATCAACTAAACACTGCACATCTCAGCAATGCATGTTTCCAATTACCAAGCATCTACAGCCTATAAAGAAACTGGACTCAATGTTCCAGCCTTTTCTCAACTCTGTCAACATTTTAAGAATTTTTTTGTTGCTATCCCCACATCTACATTTAATTCTTTCCACCTTTCCCTGTTTATTATGAAGAGAACAAGAAAAACAGACCAACAGTGGCTATTATCTCCTTAACTTTAATTATGTAGAACAAAAACATGACTGGTAAATGTTGAAATTAAAAAAAGAAAACTGTATTAGAATGCTTCAACTCCATAAAAGGTGTAATTGATACAGTAACCTGATGTCAGAATGTAAGGGCACTGAAATCTGAATGTTTAAGTTCATCATTAATAGAGGGCACAGGGAAACCCTGCAGAATCTGCTCAGCACAGCCCATCTTTAAATTTCACAGTGCATTCACTAAGCAGCACATGCAGGGAGCTGATCAGGATTCACAATTAATAACATTAAGCTGAAAATGTTGTAAACAACAGCTGACAGTCTGAATACCAAGGAACCAAAGAAGGGAGTGTTCTTAAAAGCAACTGGAAAAACTTGAAAAATTCTCTTTCCTACTAATTTCATCCCATTGTCTGGAGCACCTAAGTCATTTAAGGGGCACAATATTAAAAAAAGGTGCCCTGTGTTACAAAGTGTCTTGAGATAGCAACACATCTCTTGAAGATAGATCACTCTAGTTCTTGCAACTCAAACAATCAGGGTAGAAGTAATGCGCTTTCGTAAGTGAGCTAAAAATGGAGACGTCATGCTGAGATGGAGGGGTAGAAATGCCAAAGAAATAAAGGAAAAAAACAAACAGTAGTTCTAGAATCACCAAAAATAAATTTCACTATTGATCATCTAGAAAAAAGTCTCTTTTTTCCCCCAGGAATGCTATTAAGTAAAACTTGGGTTCAATTTACAACTAGCAGACAAAATATTACTAAACATAATATTTTTCAAATATCAAACAGAATGTCTGTGTGACTTACATATTTTAAGTAATTCTATTTTCAAATACATACCTCCCAGCACTGATAAAAAATGCTCCAAGTGTTCATCACCAATTCTAAATTCTAGCTACTGTTTATTTATGTTTATCTGTGAACATCTCAAACATTAAAGGCAGAATGAAATTTCAATTCAAAGATCTAATACTTCAGATCTACCACAATCTCAAGACAAAAAGGTAAAATGCTGTTTTTTAGGTCAGCAACTCCACTGGAGTCATCCTTGAGGAAAAACAAACGGTGACACAGAAGACAAGACAAGGGATCAGAATTCTGTGGTTAAAAATAAACAGGTGTGCAGTGACTGCACAACACTGAGAAGGCACTAAATGTCATGGAATGGGGCACTTTAATGGCTGATTTTATGTTATGTGAATTTCACCTCAATTAAAAAAAAAAGAAGTCATTTCATAGCTTCTATGTAAGTTTCTTTATGAATAAAATAGCATAGGGTAACTCTGTTAGCTGATCCCTGGGCTTTTATACAGTTAAAGCTACTCTGGATTCTTTAAATGATGTCTTTTCAAGTAAAAGTATTCTAATTTATGCATACTACACATAAAGTATAATGTATCACTTAAACCTTCCAATACAGCTCTGTATTTTCATCAAGAGTTCTCTTAACTTTCTAGAGGAGGAAATCTCACTATAATGCCTGAAATATTCCTATAAGTCAGTAAGACCATCACCTAAGATGTTGTTCAGTCACTAAATTGTGTCTGCAGGTGATAAATTCCAAGTATGGAGCACGCAACACCGACTGGGAATTTCGCTGCTGTATTCTTCTTTTACTAGTATTTTGAAAACACACTTCCTGAGAATTCAAAGGCTTTAAGATGAATAGTTACAAATAATATTAGGTATAAAAAAGGCAAAAAAGAATCATATCATTTATAGCTATTCTCTCTCTTACTCCTTCTAGAAGCAAAAAAAGAAATCACCATACAGCAAATTTTAAGAAAGTCACAAACACCCTTTCATCAAGGGAAACAGCTCTGTGCAAGTTGCTGTGGCAAAGTGCTTACTTTACAACACAGGTCACAAGCCAGTAATCAACATTCATGCCAAAGTTTCACCTTGGAAAAAACCTTGGAGACTAAGTTTACTGAAGTGAAGTGAAGTGAAAGTCGCCCAGTCATGTCCGACTCTTTGCGACCCCATGAAGTCCATGGAATTCTCCAGGCCAGAATACTGGAGTAGGTAAATCGTTCCCTTCTCCACGGGATCGTCCCAACCCAGGTCTCATGAATTATAGGATTCTTTACCAGCTAAGCCACCAGGGAAGAAACCTTTGAGACTAAGTTCATTAGCTATTATTATTATTAAGCTTTATTATTAAATATTGCATATCTTCATTTCCACTTGACTATACACAGCAGGATACCAAAAAACGTATGGATACTTAATGAATGAAGTAATCCGTAAGATCTGAGATATCATTCCCAGTCCAATAACAAGAAGACATTCTACTGTGACATGTGGACGGCCGCTGAACTAATTAGCTAAATCAGCTAGGTCTCCGGATTTATTTAATATTAATTTTTTTGTAAATTTAGAGAATTAGTTTTCAACACTACTTACGCACATCATGTCTTATACTATCTCTTGGTAGTGTTTTAAAAGCTCGAAATCAGAGACAGGACCTTAGTTCTAATCTCCTAAAGAACTTAGCACAGACTGTGTTTAAAATATCTTGATGCTTGACTAATGAGTTGAAATGGACACATGATTTGAACAGTGCAGCTGTCAATCTGATCTCCTCAAGGCAGGAACCTTGGGAAGCGCTCTCTGAGCAAATAACGTGTGTTATGTTCAAATTCTGGAACCCAAGATTTCAATATATGGTGTCTCTAGAAATTTACCTTGGCAGAAAAGCTTCTAGGCCAAATGTTTCAATAGTGAATACACAAAACCTACCTGCTTGAACACTTCTTCATCCTGGTGAGTGGTTCTCACCAGCTCCTGGATGAAGCCATATGGTAGGTTCCTACACAACATGTACGGCACTAGGAAGGACGGCTGCTGCAGGGACCTGCGGACCCAGAAAGTCAAGGGGTCTGATGAATCAACTCGTCACCCAGTAACAATAGGACACGCAAATGCCACGCGGCTGACACTCATAGGTCAAGCTTCAGATCTCCCAAATAGGCCACACAATAGATAGTCAATAGTTGAGGCAAAAGATCACCCTTCTTACTATTAAAACAATCACTTTGTGGGCTCTTCGGTGAGAAGTTATAGGAAGTTTCAAAGAATCCATCTTTTTCTCCATACAGCTCTTTAAGAATAAAGCACTAGGAAAACCAAAGTACTGTATGTCTCTTTTACTTAGTTATGTCTCATCCAACAGGGGGAGGAAAAAAGATTAGCAGTAGCTAAAGATTTTTTTAAGCTCTTATGAACTCTAACCATGGGGATAGTGTTTTTAGTACATGTGTATCTTTTTTTTTTTTCTGACATGTTTCAAAAATGGTTATGATACAGAATATAATACAAGGTGATCCAGAATGAATAAATATTGCAATTTTGCCATTTTTCCTTCAGATATTTTTCATAAGAGAAATGAAATACAGAAATACTCTTGTTAAACTTGAAACTTTATGGGATCCTCCAAACAAAAATTAATAATGTAGGACATTGTGGGTGATCCCTATATTACCTATTCCACCACCATTCTTTATTGCTGGATAATAGAAATTGATTGTATGACACATGAAAAGTGAGGCTCTGTACGTTTTTCCCAAGTATCTGTACTGCTTTCAAGCAGCTGCTTTTAAACTAAGTGAGTAATTTCTTGCCCTGATGTCAACACATTTCAACCACACAATCTATCTCAATAAAGCACACGAAGTGTTTTATTTTCATAGTATTTCAGAGAAACAAAGGGACCTCAGAGACCATCTCGTCAACTGCTCATTTCACAGGTGAGGAAGTGAGCTATGCAATGTAGTGCAACATGGCTGGGCAGCCTGTGTCCACGGAAGGAGAGGCCCTCTCTCTGCAAACAGCAAGCACACACTGGTTGCTCATACCTTGGCTGTGTGAGGGACCCCTGGAGTACTAATGCAGTGTGGGATATGCACTGTGAGCGGATGTTGCTCAGAAGCTGGCTGACTGCTGGCTGGCTGCACATCTGCAAAGACAGGTCGGGGTGAGGACTACAAAGACAAACAAAATAATCCCACGCAGTTGAAAACTGACAAAAGAGTCAGAAGAGATGGATGTGCAGGAAGAGACATCCTTTTCTCTTCCTTTATTGATGATGAACAAACTAGATTAACTGCATCATCCAAGCATACTGCCTCCGCTAAAGCCTAGTTAGAGGAGACACAGAGGTTTGAGGTGACCATGCAGGGGTTACAAAAACAGGCCCACTCTCTTAAAGGTTAAATGCAAAAAACCCCAAGAGGCCCTTCACAAATATGAACTAACATGCAGAGAACTGGATTAATTTCTAATGGAAAACCAGAACTAGCAAATGAATTGGGGAAGGAGGGGAAATAAACTGGGGAGATTGGGATTGACATACACACACTGTATGTAAAATACATAATAATAAGGACCTACTGTATAGCACAGGGAACTCTACATAATACTCTGTAATGACTTACATGGGAAAAGAATTTTAAAAAAAGGATATATGTGTATGTATAATTGATTCACTTTGCTGCACATCTGAAACTAACACAATATGGTAAATCAACTACGAAAGTGAAAGTGTTAGTTGCTCAGTACTATCCAACTCTGCAACTCCATGGACTGTAGCCCACCAGGCTCCTCTGTCCATGTGGGTTTTCCAGGCAAGAATACTGGAGTGGGTTACCATGCCCTCCTCTAGGGGATCTTCCCCACCCAGGGCTTGCACCTGGGTCTCTAGCATTACAGACAGAATCTTTACTGTCTGAGCCATTATATGTCACTGAAAATTTAAATGAAAAAAAAATAATAAAAGAATGAAAATGAAACAGGATTGAAATGAGATATTCATTCAGAATGAAATAGTAGAAAAAGTGTAGCTCTCTGAGTTTAAACCAGCTTCTCAATTTATGTGACTCTGGACAATTACAGGTATCCTCCGCTTTTTCAAAGTTCACTTTACGCTGCTTCGCTTTTAGGGAAGATCAATGGTAGTATGTATTAGATCCCTCTGAGGTGCATTTGCTTATTAACATAATGAAAAAAAAATACTTTTATTACAACAGCCTAATGAACAACGTGAAAACCTGAGTTCATGGAGACCTAGCAAAGTGTGTGATGGTTGACAGGTATTCTATAAATGTTTTATTATGATACGACAGACTATGAGACGTTATCATAGTGTTAAGTCATTGGTGATAGTAGTATTTGGCCCTGTCACATCTTCCCTCCACTAGGACATGAGTTCCAGAAGCGCTGGGATCTTCATCTGTTTTGTTCATTAATCTAGCCTGGCTTCTACTGTAGTGCCCGACCTGTGAGATGCTCACTAAGTGCTTTACTGATTGAATAAATAAATCTAATTAGGGGCTTAGAAAACAATTATTTATCCAATATATAACCAGGTTTTGTGGGTTTTAAGTGAATCTATTTCATATTACCTTTGGTGCTTTTTTTTCCTCTATTCCAACTCGGTCAAAACACTCGATGAGGTAGTTCAGCATGTCTGTCTCCTTGCACGTTTCAATGGTGAAATGGTCGCTGTAGGAATCCCAAGTACTTGCCCCACCAGAGGCTCCCAGACTTTGGAGAAAAGAAAAGGGATGGTTTTGATACGTTCTCAATAAACCACAGGACAGAGCTCGCACTGCCGTAGCAGAAAGCCTGTTAGGGTCCCCGCACCCAGGACAAAGCACAGACCCCACGCGGCTGCGCCTGGAGCTGACTGCCGGCTTCATCTGCTCCCAGTCCAACAACAGAGTTTTAGGAAACATTTTATTGACCTAAGAAGAAAGTCTGTCCAGAAATCCAGCATCTCATCTTCTCAGGAACAGCACCTTACAAAACCAGGAGGACTAAGAACTGGTACTAAGCATCAGGAATTTGAAGGGATACCACACGTATGTACTTCCAACTGATCAGCTGTGCTCGGGCTGACTTGCAGGTTAAAGCCAGCCTGTGCTGTTAGGCAAGCAAAGTCTTTAGGAGTGAAGTTACAAGGGACTGACAAAACACCCCTCCCTCCTTCCTACTGTCTAGCATACATCTCAAAGCCTTTATGCAGCATTTGGCAATAGGACTAGAACTTAGGAAAACTGTCCAGTTAGAAGGAGATGTGAAAATACTTGTTATCAATACTAACTTTCCAAAATGTTTAGTGAAAGGGACATAGTAGTATTAGTGAAAACAAAACAAAAACCTTGTGCTAGGAGTATCCAAACTTGCATTCTATCCCCAGCTCTACTGCCTACTTGTTACCTGAACCCAGAACTTCCATCTCATCTGCACTGAGGTTAAATGAAATCATGTGGAGGTACTTTGTCAAACACAGGCAGGATACAATGGGAGGGCCCTGTTTCTATTAAAACTATTCTCTGAGACCATTATCATGAGGGTTAGGTGTTAGGAAATCAAAATTTAGATTATCAATAGGTCAAATACCAAATGTGATGTTCAACTCACAAATTTGATAGACATAAAAGATTAACCATGGCATAGGAAGAGGCCATGAATTTTGAAATGAAGAGGAATGAAAAGATATAAATTTAACAACAACAAAAATTAAATGTGAAAGATGATAAAGAATCTTGGAATGGTATTGGAATATTTCATTTAAAAAAGATAAAAACAGGTGGTCCAGTGTTTAAGAATTTGCCTGCCAATTCAGGGGACATTGGTTCAACCTCTAGTCCAGGAAGATTCTACATGCCAAGGGGCAACTTGAGCTTACATGCCACAAGTACTGAAGCCCACGCACTCTAGAGCCCATGCTTGGCAACAAGAGAAGCCAGCGCAATGAGAAGGCCCAAGCACCCCAACAAAGGGTAGACCCCACTCACCACAACTAGAGAAAGCTCAACCATAGCAATAAAGACCAGGCGCAGCCAAAAATTAAATAAATAAGTAAATAAATAAAAAGATGAAAACAATGCCAAGGCTTTAAATCCAAGGCTCTCAGGCCAGAGACTTGTAAATCTACAACTTACTTCCTACACAAGTCTGACAGAGGGAGGGGAGGACAGGAGGTTGAGAAGCAGCCAGTGCCCTCCTGACTGGGCAGATAAGGGACCCACCCTCAAAGTGCCCCATCAGAGACACAGATGGGCAGTCCAGGGTGGGAAACATGAAAAAAAAACAAAACCAATTCTTGTGCCTTCACATCAGTTAGAAATACATTTCATGAATTAATGTAAGATCTGGTATCTGTTCGTTAGCCAGACAACAGAAAAATGAGGACTGTAATAAAGCAAAGCAAAACAAAACAAAACAAAACAAAACCCCTAACAATACAGAAAAACCCACCCATAAATATAAGTATGGTGAAACCGCAAAAGGAGAGAGGGGGGAAAAAGATACTTGGCCTTTCCTGCAGCCATCTCACTCTCAAGCTATCTGCCATCCTTCCCTCTTCCATCTGAGGTTCGTGATTCCATTCCCTGCACTTCTCAAAGATGAAATTTGCTGATTCAAGTTTATAACTATATACAGTTAAGGTTCATCTTCCTTTGAGAAGCTCTCACAGAAGCAATGAAAATAGACCTTCCTCATGTTGAAAATGAAATATTTAAACTAAATATTTCCCTAATAATAAGTTCCATCTTTCTCACATGTTTACATTTCTGAAATGGAAAGCATCTTATATTTGATGTCAACAGGTCCTTGCTGTTTGCAACGAGCCAGTCTAATGCAGTGTGCCCTTGATCAACAGTGGGAGTTAGCATGCATCGACGGTGGCTGCTGACTAAAACTGGGCTCCATTCTTAGCCAACACACCCCCTTTCATTTTAACTTAGACTTGGACACCTCAAAGTCAACCAAAATGCCTTCGCAAGCATTTTGCAAAGACATGAAAAGACATGACAATTGTGTGCAGAGGACTGCCAGGCAAGGCAAAGAAAGACATTCAGAATGTATCAAGAGAATTTTCAAAGCTGAAAGAGGTTGATGTATGTTGTGATTATCTGTCAGGCACCAAATAACACTTCCAGGGGACTTTCAAGAGAAGAGAAAGAAAGAAATGAAACAAGAGTTTAACCAAATAGTAAACAAAGAGTTAAACCCAGTATTTGTCAATGTTTCCAAACTATGAGATCAGCCTTAAGGATGTTGAAGTAGATAGTGAGCAAGGTTGTCAGTCAGCCTCACCAGTGCTGGGCATGATTGCCAGTGGTGAAAACTGGTTTACAGGGGTCTCTAGATTTGAACTCAGAGAGCTGAACTCAGGTTCTAAATGTGATCCTGAAGGAAAAAGGTGTGTACAGTTTAAACACATTAAATTTATGCTATCAATAGACATTTTAAAAAATGTTTTAAAATAGTATTTCATTTTTTCTCTAAAAATGTTGCTACAAAATTCATGATGCCTTTACAACTGTGACATGTGGATTACGACACTGGAAATCATCATATTTAAGTCCTAAGATTATCTAGAAAATTATACCTCCTTCTGGGAGAATACAGGAACCATTTTCTGATAACTACATCAACAATCCAATTGAATAATGTAATTACTTCACATGATGTAAATACAGTGGAAGCCTTCCAAAAAACACAAGGAAAATATATCTGGAGATTTATATATGCATCAGATCTGTGCAAAGTGAATCTCATTTTAAATGTACCCAAAAACATAGTTTCCTAAAAGGCTTCTGTGGCAGTTCCTTCTCTTCTGTGATGGGAATAATCACTCCCTATTTTCCTTTTTGGACGCAGACTTTGGAATGGCATATTTTCTCAATGCAACGAAAGGGAGAGCTGGGCAGGGATAAGCAACGTAAATCCCCCGAGCAAATGTCTGCACTGTTGAAGATCGTAGGGGCAGCACCTTAATGAATCAGATCAAGACCTTGTTCATGTGGCAACTACATCTTCTACAATGTAGACATTTTTTTAAAAAGTCTTTACTGAGTTTGTTACAACACTGCTTCTGTTTTATGGTTTGGTTTTTTGGTCCCAAGGCATGTGGCATCTTAGCTCCCTGACCAGAGATCAAACTTATACCCCTGCATTGTAAGGCCAAGATAGGACTGTCAGGGAAGTCCCCTGAGGAGAGATGTTTTTTTTAAAAAATAATATATAAGTGCTATGAAGAAATGAGTATAGATGTCAGAAAGAGGCAGGAAGAGTGTGTGTGTGTGTGTGTGTGTGTGTGTACACATGGGAGATGTGTGTGTGTGTGTGTGTGTGTATGCACGGGAGATATGTACATGTGTGTTTATAACCAGGAGATGTAAGGTCCTAGGCTTTGGGTCTAACCCTGTGGGAGAAGGGAAATCACTGGAGGTTGGAGGACAGACATGGTGGGAAGATTCTGACTCATGACCAGTAGAAATAAGGGGAGAAATATCAACATTTTTCACTATTTTGTGCTCAGTCACTCAGTTGTGTCCATTTGCTAGTTTACTCTTTCTCTATTCACACAGGCTCATGATGTTCAAGATCTAATCTTCACTGAAATATCTAAGCAATGAAAAAAGAATCCCAATAAACAAAAGAAAAAGAAAAATGTCATTCTAGTCATCAACTTCCTAGGAAACAATTAGAAAACGTTTCCTCAGAATAATTACTTTATCCTCTTTTTTCCTGTTATCTTTATTATAAGAAAACTCTCATTTCACTCATTTTCATTCCTTCAAGAAGTAGCTCCTTATAACGCATATAGCTTTTTTCAGAGTACTACGAAACATTCCATCCAGAAGGAATGTTCTTTCTTTTATTAATCCTTATCATCACCACTATAAATAATTAATACAGGGCTGTATGTCCCCACTACCTCTCAAAAGATGTACAAGCCCTTGACTCCACTGGGCCAGCAGAAAGGGAGACCAATACAATCCCTGCTGACAGCTGCTTCTACAGCACTGACCTTACTGGACAAGAAGAAGGTGTTAAAATTGCTTACTTCCAAGTAAATAAAATTCTGAGATCAATTAGACAGGGGGAAAGAAAAAGCTCTTTGCTGATCACCCAAATTAATAAGAATTTTTTTTTGCTACTTCTCGGTTCTGACCCTACGTGCATTCTCATGTTCTTCTCTATTTGTTTCATGTGTTAAATATGATTATGCCCTGTCCTTTTACATTCCTTTTGATGTCTATTCAGAATTTATAATTTCTAAAACCTGGACAGATGAGATTTCATTTTAATAGACAGCAAAGTACCCGCCAATCAACCGGAGTGGAATTTTGTACTTAAGAAGGAAAATGTTGGCCCTTTCTTGCCAAGGAAAAGAACACATACATAAACTCTGGGCAGTGAAATAACTGCTAAGAAATGAGAATAATCCAAGTCCTACTGGGCAAACAGGGAGAAGTCAGAGGCAACTCGGTGTGCTGGGTGGCATGTGAGATCTGGACTCCAGCTCTGCCTTCTTCTAATTATGAGACTAACCTCCTTGAAGGTTATTGATGAAGCTGAAGCTCCAATACTTTGGCCATCTGATGCGAGGAGATGACTCATTGGAAAAGATCCTAACGCTGGAAAAGACTGATGGTAATAGGAGAAGGGAGCGACGGAGGATGAGATGGTTGGATGGCATCACTGACTCAATGGATATGAGTTTGAGCAAGCTCTGGGAGATGGTAAAGGACAGGGAAGCCTGGTGTGCTGCACTGCATGGGGTCACAGAGAGTCGGGCATGACTGAACAACAACAACAACCTTCCTGAACCTGCCCACATTTCCGTGCAGTAACTAGAGGCCCTGCTGTGAGGATCAGAGGGATAACGTACGCACACGGCTCACAGAGCACCTGGGACATGATGCTCAGTAACTATTCGCAGCTATGAGTACATAATCAGTAAGTTTTGTTTCTGCTTGTAGGTGTCAAATCTAGATCTGAGACAAGGCTGGATGTTAGAAGTCTAGACAGGAGTTAGGTAAAGCAGCATGTGATCTGATATCTTTGTTAGAGAAAGCTGGAATTAAATAGGCAAGGGAGAGACAGTATTTCCCCCACAGATAACTTACAGTAAAACAAAACAAAGCATTTTTATCATGTATAGGAACTGACTCCTAACAAGGATGGCTGCTACACTACTATGATCAAGGAAGAGGATGTCTGTGCATGCGGGCTCAGTTGTGTCCGACTCTGCAGCCCCATGGAGCCAGGCTCCTCTGTCCATGGGACTTCCATCCCATTCCACGGGATGTCCAGGGGGCTGCCATCTCCTCCTTCAGGGATCTTCCCGACCCAGGGATCGAATCCAAGTCTCCTGCATCTCTTGCACTGCAGGCAGATTCTTTACTGTTGAGCCATCTACATGAAAAAAACACTTCTACCTTTGGGAAATTTACTTGAGAAATAGTGATACAACATTCGACCTAACACAAATGTCAACCTTTCTGAATCAATATTCAACCCTGTGCCAATATTCCTCTCTCTCTTTATAGACTCTCTAATGATCCTTCTGAACAATGTTGAGTTTAATGTAGTATACCGCACCCCTACCACCGTCTCTATTTATAGCCTGGAGTTATTTTTGAATACTGCTGGGCACAAATACCAACTCAGTCCAGATGAAACTTCAATTTAAGAGCAAAATTGTAAGACGATGAGTCAGAGAATTAGAGAGAAGGTGCTATTATGTTTTTTTGCTCAAAGTCACCTAGAAGGTCCAAGCCATCTTTTTCACTCTGTTTTCAGGGGTGAAACTTCAGCAATCTTGTGAGCTCTGTTTCAGCCTCTGCAGTCATTCCACAGGCTAGGCTGTCTAAACAAAGGGTCTGGCTTCACTGGGGTCAGAGAAGTGAAGTGACTGCTTAGCAAAATTTAAGATTAGCAGTGAAGAGTGCTTCCCTGGTAGTTCAACGGTAAAAAAAATTCGCCTGCTAATGCAGGTGACATGGGTTCAATCCCTAGTCCAGGAAGATCCCACATGCCGAACAGCAACTAAGCCCCGGCGCAACCGCTATTAGGCCTGTGCTCTAGAGCCTGGAAGCCACAACTACTGAGGCCCTCTTGCCCTAGAGCCTGTGCTCCGCAATAAGAGAAGCCACCACAGTGAGAAGCCTAAGCATCTCAACTAGAGAGCAGCCCTATTCGCTGCCAACTAGTGAAAAGCTGATCTGAAGCAAACAAAGATCCAGCACAGCCAAAAAATAAAGATTAGAAGTCAAAGCAGAATCACAGTTATAAAAGAGAGTACGACCCCACGTTCTCTTCAACACATGGCGCAGAGTGGGCTGAGAGGGACACATACACACACACACACAAGACCCAGCCCCTGTGCCATTCCTAAAAAGCAGCAATCCATGCAACTGTACATAAGAAAACACGCCTCCCAGAGTACATGTTGCTTACATCTGGTAGCCCACAAGAACACTCTCCTAATAAAATAAATGAAGGGTCTCTTACTTTTAGATCTTAGGGCAGGTGAACTTGATGTCTATTCTGTTCATGTTCTTGACAAATGATTATACATTAAGTTGTTCTCCAAACTTGCCGGGCAACAACTGTGAAAATGTGTCTTTGTGCCACTTTACCCTCATGAGAAGGTCCTAATGCTTGAGTACATGTGGAGTTTCTCACATCTGGACTCACCAGGCCACCTCATTTGACTCTACCCTGTATGGATTCAGAGCACGCCTCTAATTAGGGCTTATAAAAGTTAGTTCCTAAGCACCTAGGCACATGCAGAGGTAAGACTCCATTCCTCTGATACCTGGACCCAAACTGGACACAAGAAAACTCATCACCACCACCACCACCTTCATCATCACCATCATCATCATCATCTTCTTCATCTTCGTCACTACTGTCCCCAGAAAGTGCGAGGAAGAGGAAGGAGAAAGGACTGTCGTACATACTACCGTAACAAAAGCAAAAAAAGTCATCAGGGAACAAAGGAAAACAAAGAGGAGGAAAGCTTTTACAACCACTGGAGTTTAATTAAATCATAGGCTACAAGTTTTGTCTACTGATATGCAGAAAAATAATTCACCTAAATTACATAAAGGCCAGGAAACACATGGTGGGAAGGAGGGCAGTGGATTAATGGAGTTTGGATACTGCTTCTTTCTAAGGGGCTGAAAACAAAGCGTCAAGGCATAACTACTGGCCAGAGGCAAGGTATCTGCTCACTCGACCCCTTGGTCTGACTGCATCTCAACTATGATCGGCAACAGGACACAAAGTGGAAAGTGGTTCTGTGAGCCCCAGCTCTCAAATATAAGCTGCCACAGTCTCTGAAATTTATTTGTCATGAGGAATGATATGTGCCCTTGATTTTGAAAATGGAGTGACTTCTTATTTTCAGGAGGAAAAGTGAAGGGGAAGAAAGGCCCTCATAATTGAGCCACCCATACTTTCTGATGAGACAGAACCCTGGCAGAGCAGGGACTTGGGGCACGAGCCTACCCAACGAGTTAGACACGTGGGTTAACAGCCCCAAACAGAGAAACACAGGTAACGGAGGTTAGTGTCACATGACAGTTCCTCCAAACTGTGTTAATGTCTTCTCCCTGCACTGCAAACACACACCCGCCTCTCCTACTTTGCAAATAAATACCTAGGAGAGTTCCTTAGGGAGGAGGGCCGTCTGCTGGGGGCACTCCCACCAGGGGAGGCGGAGAGTAAAGGTGGTCCTGTGCCAGGGAGCCTCTGTCGGGAGGAGCTGGTGGGCACGGCTTGAGGGCTACTGGCCGGGACGAACAGGCCTGGGGAGCTAGACAGGATGGAGGTGCCTGAGGATCGCGAGGCAGGAGAAGATGTAGACCCCGAGGGGTGGGTGATAGTGTAGGGCCGGTACCGTGGAGACGAGGGCTGGCTTCCCGCAGGCGTCCCCACAGCACCAGGAGGACAGAGGGAAGAAGCGGGAGGCGTAGTCGCCTGGCTGGCTGCCCGGGATGGGGAGGCCAGAGGTGGACTCATCATTGGCACAGAGCTCCAGACATTGGTATTGGGAGCTGGGCTAGTCTCATAGAGGCTAAATGATTTGAGAAAGGGAGGAAAGAAGAGAAAATTGAAGAAACACTTGAGATAAATAACTAAAATGGAAAATAGCATGTTTTTAAAGAACCGTATAATTACAACCTCATATCTCTAAGCATTCCAGTATACAGATCTTTTAGAGACTCATCGAAATAACTGTAATCTAACTGCCATGCTGATTTAGAAGCCAGACTTACAATAAGAGAAAGCGTTCTTTCCAAAGAACATACTCTACAGCTATTTGTTTCTAAAATTTAATTTACCAACAGCCTAACCATGGAAAGTCAAAGAGATCCATCTGGAAAAGACCGTATCTCTTCAGTGAGTCAACCACACCCCCCAAACATAAGTCATTCCATAATCTGCACGATGCAGGCCCCTGAATCAACGTTCCTTTTTCCTGCGTACTTCATGGCTATTTTACCACCAGGGAGACGTGCAGAAAGAACCACACTGACCTAGACAAAGAGCTGGCCCCGAAGGAACCCAGGTTGCAGAACAAGGGGCTCGTTCCTGGGTTGGAGCCGGTGGTCAGCATGAGGTTTCTGTCTGGTGACCGAGCTGTCGCTGCAATTGGCTGGGAGGTGGCTGTCAGGCTGGCAAATGGGTTTTCATCTCTGGTCTGAGTAGACATCATTAGCACTTCCATTAAAATCTGGCCAATCAAGTCCTTAAAATCAGAGAACACTGTTGGAAAGGCAGAATAAAGAGGAGGTTATACATGGGTCTTCATACACACAGTCCTTGAATAAGCCAGCATAAGCCAGAGATGCACAATGTGCTACTCTGGACTGGATTCTCGAGTAATAAAAGCCGCCAGTAGAAAATGTGGGGAAATCCAAATAAGGTCTGGAATAACAGTAATGTCTTAGTTCTGACAAGTATACTATGATTATGGAAGACATTGACATTAGGGAAAACTGAGTGATGTGTGTATAGGAACTACCTGCACTACCTCTAGAATTTTTCTGTAAATCTAAAATGTTTTCAAACAGAAAGCTTATTAAAAAAAAAAAAATAGAGCCCAGTTGATGAGAGTCACTGCTGATATATATTAACTATAAAAAGAAGCTACCTCCAACTACAGAGGTTAGTTTATCACACTGGAAATGCAATTGGGTTAATATTTCTTCACCTATTCATGTTTATATACAGTGAAACTATGAAGTACAAAGTTCAAAGTATTTTATGAAGGTCTAATATTTAGTTGCCACCTGCCTTTCTGGAGCAGATTCTGTTTTCTAGCCTCCTTCTTATTCTTTGCAGCTCTTGATTGCTATAGGTCTTTTGTTGTTATTCAGTCACTAAGTTGTGTCTGACTCTTTTAGGACCCCATGGACTGTAGCCCACCAGGCTCCTCTGTCCACGGGATTTCTCAGGCAAGAATGCTGGAATGGGTTGCCATTTCCTTCTCCAGGGGATCTTTCCAACAGGGATTGAACCAGAGTCTCCTGCATTGGCAGGTGGGTTCTTTACCACTTGAGTCACTAGGAAAGCCCATTTTAAATATCACTCAATAAATAAAATGTCTAACCCATGTAAATCTTACCTGATCTGTTACTAAAAATTACCAGACAGATTTGAGAATCTTAAGATTTACAATAATAAGTGGCAGGATTTTGAAACTCATGGTTGTTAAGCTCAACTCTACAGTCACAATTAAGAAGAAGATCCCAGTAAAATCAGAAATAAACTATCCATCTACCTGGAACACAAGAGACATTTTTTTGGTTTGCTGTGGAAGATAGGCAGCAGGGAAAAGGAAATGCAATCTCCTTGACGTTCATTCACTCATTTAAAGTATATCTACTGAGGGATTATGAAGTGTAGGCGCTGCAAATACATGGGGGAGCAAAACAGACAAAGTCCCACCATCAAGGAGGTTGTATTCAAGTGAAATGCAAAAGAAGACTCCAGTGAACTTCCCCTCCGTTTTCTGTATTCCAAAGCAGGGGTCCCCATACCCGGGACAGATATGTGGTCTGTGGCCTCTTAGGAACTGCACTGCACAGCAGGAGGTGTGTGATAAGACAGTGAGCGAAGCTTCATCTGTATCTACAGCTACTCCCCATCGCCCGCATTACCACCTTAGCCCTGCCTCTTGTCAGATCAGCAGCGGCATAATAAATATAATTTGCTTGAACAGTCCCAAAACCATACCCACAACTTCACCGGTGTAAATACTGTCTCACATGAAACCAGTCCCTGGTATCAAAAAGGCTGGGAACCAGTGCTCCAGAAGACTGCTATAGAGAAGAGTGAAAAGTACCCTGGGATGCTGGTCTCTTGCTAAGTTTTATTACTTTAAGTGTGGTTTAGTACAGCCTCTTAAAATAGAATCCGGTAAACACTGCAAAATATCAGTATGTTTTAGTTTGCTAAAGCAATTTAACCAAGCACATTTACTCCACTGTCTACGTATGACCCAGGAGGCACTTACAACAGGTACCGGTCACCCTCTCAGGATCCCTGCAGACCACCCAGCATGCTCCTGCCCGGAATGTAAGAGGCCCTAAAGCTCTCTCTAAGCACCTTCTTATTGCAAAGGAAAAAACTTCAGCCCTGAGACAAAGGATACTATTAAATGATACACAGTTTTCCTTTGGAGAAATAATTTTTTTAAAAAAATTTATCAATAAGTAGAAAGTAGACAAACAGCAAAGTCTTCATCAAGAAGTATCCCTGTAATCAGAAATACAACTACAGAGCAAGACAAGGTATGTGGACAGCAGAGAAAGACAAGAGTTCACATTCTGTTTTTCTATGAAGGGCTCTGAAATGAGACAGTTGAGCCCGATTCCTACCTTCTTTTGGGTTCTGCTTAAACTGTGCAGAAAGAGAAGAAAGGAAGATCACATCCCTGTCCCGGTCCTTCCAGGAGACACGGAAAATCTTACAGACCAGCTGTAAGGCCTGCTCTTCAGACACTTCAGAACCTGATGAAGGCTCCTTGTGGGGAAGAAGATTTGGGGGTTAATTTCAAGCAGTAGGAGGTGTGAGTTAGACTTTAATAGAAATTCTGATTTAATTCATTTACAAATAAGGATATTTTAGAAATGCAGACAATTCACCCACTGATTAAAGGAAAAATAAACTTGTTACTACGACTTCAAAGTTATAACCTGTGGGTCTCATTAGCTTATAACACAATATATGGCAGGGAATACAAAACAGTAGGACTGTTATCAGGAATTGCCAAGGAAGACATGTGATGAAGGATGCATCATTTATTTCCCATTTATTATTCCCATTTATTTTCTTTTCTGAATGCTAAAAGACCAGGTTGACATTTTAGGTATATAACCAATTTTTCTCTAGAAATTTTTCCAGATTTTAATGTTTCTCACTATTTTTCACCACAGATAAACTTTGTAAGATTCAAACACTACAAAATAAACACTGCATCACTAAGAGGCTACAGTCCAACTTCTAATAATGCTGCTGAACACTAATAACTTACTAAACAGAAAGGGTTGCAATTATCCATGCCAGTTCTATACCATGACACATACCCACAAAAACCAAAAATGTCTTTTTTTAAAATATAGGGAACTAAAGCTCAGATGGGAACAAACTATAAAAACCTCCTGTTTCCACTCATTCTTGCTTTAATTCCTGATCATCTTCCTCAGAATGACGACTTACTTGCTTAAGCAATTAAAGATCAACAGAAAAAATTCAAATAAGCTCTAAATTCATTGCTATCATTTACTGATAAAAAAAAATGCACCTGAAACAAAGATAAGTGAGGGATTTTTATCAGGTGAAAGGACTAAGCTATACTTCCACTAATAAGGGTGATCAAGGCTACCCATATTTCTTCAAAAGAAAAAAAAAAAAACAATTACCTAAATAGGACCTGCTGGTTTGGCGTGGCCCTCTCTAACAGACTTTTACAGATACAAGACATGAAGCAGTGCTTATTTATACTGTGCATGTGAGTGCGTGCTTAGTTGTTGGATTATGTCCAACTCTTTGGGACCGCATAGTCTGTAGCCTGCCAGGATCCTCTGTCCATGGAATTTTCCAGGCAAGCACACTGGAGTGGAGCAGGTTGCCATTTCCTGCTCCGGGGATAATTCCAACCCAGGGATCAAACCCACATCTCTTGCATCTCCTGTATTGGCAGGTGGGTTCTTTACCCCTGTGCCACCTCGGACGGCATTAACTGTACCTAAAAGCAGAAGCAAGGGCTTCATCTCTTACCAACCTTATCACTGAGGCTCCTTTTTTCTCTTCGGTCATTTTCATCAACCTCCATATTTTCGATTCCTGAATCCACATCCACCTGGGACATGCTTTAAGTATAAAAGACAAATCAGTCTTTTACCTTTGATAAACCCACCCCAATATCATAGCTGCTGGCTGAGGAAGTTATCGTTTTTTTGTTTTTTTTTTGGCTGCACCGCAAGACCTGCAGGATCCTATTTCCCCAACCAGGGATCGAACCCAGGCTCTGAGCAGTGAAAGCACCGAGCCCTACCACTGGACCGCCAGGGAGTTCCCTGAGGAAAAGTTCTAAAATATCAATCAAGATCAGTCAGGAAAGTTAAATAATAAAGGTTCACCTTTTTTCTCAATAATTTTTAAGAGCTCTTCATATATTAGGATATAAACATTCCATCTATCATACTTACTGAAAATACTTTTCCCAAGTGGTCATTTCCTTAGGCTTACTTTTAAAAATAATAATAATATTGTTGGAAATATTTTCCTCAAGTTGTCATTTTCTTAGGCTCACTTTCAAAAACAAAAATTAGAGCAAATTTTCTATATGTACTATTTTTAAATGATATACAATCAATCAGAGCCTGATTACAAAATCTTGTGAAGTACATATATTATTTTTCCTCACATTAAATAATTGTCCTAGCATCATTTATTGAAAGGACCATTCTTTTTACAGTAATATGAAATCATTTATGTCATATGTCCAGTTGTCATACTGTGTCCAGCTGTGTGCAGGTCTCTTTCTGGATACTAATTTCCACCCCATTAGACAATCTGTCTGTCCCTAAAACCATACTCACTACAACTTCACTAATAAGCCTTGGTATCTGCTAGGTCAATGCCTTCACCTTGTTCTTCTACCTCAAAACAGTCTTGGCCACTCTTAGTCCTGTGTTCTTCTACACATACTTAATGATCATCTCAACAGGTTCCTTTAAGTACTGTTGGGATTTTGACTAGAGCTTTACTGACTCTAAAGATCAAACGGGGTAGAAATGACATCTTTATGCTATGCATCTATCCTTGGACAAGGGATGTCTCTCCAAGTATCTATGGTTTTCTTTCAATAAACTTTTCTAATTTTCTCCATAAGTCTTTCACTTCTTTTGCTAAATTTATCTCTAGGCACCATATATTTTAAAATAAAATTGTGACTGGTACCTGTTTAAAAACTAAGATTTCTAATTTTTTGTTGCTCGTGCATAGTAATGTTAACTAATTTTACATATAAACCTCTCATAAGCTATTTGTTTACTTATGCATTTGACTTCCTAGGTTGATAATCATTTTATCTCCAAATAGTAACTTTGGTTTCTTGAACTCCAATCCTAACTTCAGTTACTGCATTGGGTAGGGTCCCATGTTGAATAGAAGCAGAAATAGCAGTCTTCTGTGCTCTTATTCCTGACTTTAAAGAGAATGTTTCTAATTTCTCACCACTGAGTACGAGAGTTATTGTAGTATTTCAGTAGATGTCCTTTATGGTAGAATGAGAGGCTATAGTGTGATAACACATACACTCTGCAATCTTAGAGGCTTAACACTATAAGGGTTTATTTCTTGCTTACGCAAAGTCTGATGAGAGTGAAGCATCCTTACTCCATCTTTAATCTATGCCATCTGCAATACACAGCCTCCAAGGTCACTGGAGCAAGAAAAGAGAGGGATGGAGGAGGAACATCGGCTCAACTGCCTTCACCCAAAGGTGACACATGTCACTTCCACTCACAAGTCTACGGGACAGACCTAGTTACTCAGCCCCAATCTAACTGCAAAGGAGACTGGACGTTCAGGGGAGCATGTGGAATACTTGGTGAACTCTATCTGTGCCCTACAGTTTAAGGATGCATCTTTCTGTCTCCTGTTTGCTAAGATTTTTATCGAGTCAATGTTGAGCTTGTCTATTTAATACATAATGGGGTGGATAATATTTATAGACTTCCTCACGTTAAAGTACCCTTACATTCCTAAGATAAACCCAAGTTGGTCATGCTATATTATTTTTTTTAATTAATCTTTTAATGGAATTATCTATACAGAAATGTGCAAAGATGGTATGTGTTTGGCTGAATAAAGTTTCACTAAGGAAACATACTAATGTAATCAGCACCCAGATCAAGCAAGAGAACATTTCCAGCACCCCAACGGTCCCCCCCATGACCCTTTCAATCACAACCATGCTAACCCACAGTAACCACCATCCTGGCACCCGGACCCAGAGATGTTTTGCCTGTTTTCTATGTGCTGCACTATCTGATTTGCTAATATCTTCAAATTTTTGCAAATATGTTCATAACCATGTAATTTTTACCAGTTTTATTGATTACCATGTAATTAATTTTCTTCTTTGATATTGTCTGGTTTTGTATATTAAGGTAGTATGAACCTCATAAACTGACTTGGGAAGTTTAAAGATTATCTGAAAAATGTGTGCAAAGTTGGGATGGTGAGAGTACCAAAAGATCATATGAGCAAGGTGCTTTCTTCGGAAAAACTGTAAAATACTGATTCGATTTAACTTTTTTTTTTTTGATTATTCAGATTCTCTCTTTCTTCCTAAGACAATTTTGGGAGAATTGTGATCTTTGAGGAATCGGACTTTTATCTAGACTTTCAAATTGATTTGCATCCTGCATATTTACATTTTCACAGAGTTCTCTTTTTCAATAACAAGCATTATTGAGTGCCCATTCTAGGCAGGCATTGTTCTAGGTGTCCGAGATGACAACAGACGAGAGACCAAAAAAATTTCCTGTGCCATGGAGCTTCTGTTCCAGTTAAAGGGAGAAAGATAATAAATATAATAAGCAAAGCATAGAGTATATAATAAATGCTATATAAAAATTAAAGGAAAAAAGAGCAAGGAAAAGGTAATGGAGAAGGCAGGGCTCTCCCATTTAAATGGGGTCACCTCACTGAAATACTACCTAGGCAAAAATAGGAAGGAGGTAAGCCATGCACATATCCAAGGGAAACACATTCCAAGATACGGGGTTTAATTCCAAGTATTTACTTATATTCTTTTTTCTTCTTTAGTATAATATATATAAAGAGAGTTTTATATCCTCTTCCAAGGACCCCATTAACTGTGACACATAAATGATGGTATATAATATTTGTTATTCAGTTCAGATTTCCATCATGATTTCTTCTTTGACCTATATTTAGAAGTATGCTATTTTTTTAATTTCCAGATTTATGATTTTTTTTTAACCCTACATGAATTATCTAACGTAACATCAGAAAACATTATCAATATGATTCTGACTCCTGAACCCTTCTGGTTGATGGGTATCAGAAAAGAACGTGTATTCTCCAGTGTAGACTGCAAAGCCTGGTATCCTTCATTAGATCAAGCTTGTTAGCCATGTTGTTTAATTTGTCGATATGCTTACTGCTGTTTATTCTCTCTGCTCTATTGATGGCTGAAAGAGACATGTTAAAAATCTCCCATTATATTAGGTATGTGTCAATTTCCCCTAGTTCTATCAAGATTTGCTTTATTATATGTTATTATATTACTAAACGCATATAAATATTTTGAAAACTGTTATATCCTGCTGGTAAACTAAACATTCATCATTATACAGTGCTTACTTCTAGTAATATTTTGTAACTTAAGGTCTAATTTATTAATACATTTATCCCTATTTTATTCTAATTTATTAATACATTTATCCCTATTTTATTTTGTTTAGTATTTGCCTAGTATATTTTTCCCTTTCGTTCAGTTTCATGCTTTCTCTAACCTAGTGTTTCAGGTATACCTTCAGTAAACAAAAAGAAAGCTGGGTTCTATTTTGTTTTTAATCTAACCTATGACTTTTCACTGTGACTTACGGTGATTATTGACATTTTCATTTCTTTTATAATCTTATTTTGTGCTGTTTGCCTCTTTTTAAAAATTTGTGTTTCTTTCGTCCTTTTCTTTGAATTGACTTAAATTCCCTCCCCTCCCCAACCTTGTTTCATATTCCCTTTACTGGTTTGAAAATACACTCTTTCTATTCCTTCAGTGGTTATTCTTGAAATTTTATGAAGTATTCTTAACTCAAAGTCTGAGAGCTTGCCACTATCCCCTCCCAAGTAGACAGTCACTCCCCTTTCGGCTTTAACTGCTATTGCTGTTCTGTTGCTAGTATGTAAGATCGGATTATTTACTTCTCTCTCCCTCTATTATTTCATACACTGTTATTACTGTCTTAAACCATCAGTGTTCAGATTTAGCACATATTTATTATTTTTCTTAACTCATCTTTCCTCCCTGCATTTCAGACATTAGTCTTGAGTTCATTTTCCTTCTTTATTTTTTTGAGAAAAAAGTGGTTTATTTTTCTTCATGAAGTATAGTTGGTACATAGTATTATGTAAATTACAGGTGTACCATGTAGTGATTTCCAAATTTTAAAGGTTATACTACATTTAGAGTTATTATAGAGTATTTGCTGTATTCCCCATGCTGTGCAATACATCCTTGTAGCTTTTTTAAAAATTAATTTTTATCAGAGTACAGTTGCTTTACAATGCTGTGTTAGTTTCTATAGTACAGCAAAGTGAATCAGCTATATACATTTTCCTTCTTAAATGCATCTGTTAAAATCTGCGGTCTTCTTGTGGCAGACCATCAGTTTTTCACATTTGTTTTTTAAATCTATAAATACGTTTATTTCTCCCCTTCTCTTAAAAGACAGTTCCACAAATACACACAGTTCCCAGCTGACAGTTACTTTCTCTCAGCACTTAACACTGATTCCATAGTCCTCTGCCCTCCATCACTGAGACATCTAACTATTGTCCTTTCGTAGATAATCTCTCGTTTCTCTTGGCTGCTTTAAATGTCTTTGTCTTTGGTTTCCTGCAAGTTAACTATAAAATGTCTAGATACATTTTATACATTTTATTTACCTTGCTCATAAGTTATAGGGCTTCCTGAACCTGAAGATTCCTGTATTTATCAACTCTAGACAAATCCTCAGCAATTTATCATTTTGATAATGGCTTTCAAATCAGCAGAGGAAAAAATGATGAAACAAGGAGAGAGGTGAGAAATCTCCCAGTGTGCCTGCCCTCTCCTTCTGATACTTCTATTAGAGATATATATTAAATCTGTGTCTTCTTGTCCTCTGTATTTCTAAACATCCTTCATATTTTTCATTTCTCTTTCTCTTTGTGGTGTACTCTAGGTAAGTTCTTCAGCTCTATCATTCCATTTGTTAATTTTCTCTTTAGTTATCTTAAACCACTGTGTATTACAATCTTTTCATTTTTAGAAATTCTATTCAGTTCTTTTTCAAATGTGCTTGGTTGTTTTTATAGTTGCTTGCCTCTTATTCACATTTTCAATACTTTTAAAAATTTAGTTAAACATACAAATTTTACGTCCTGTATTTGACATTTCCAAAACCCCAATGAGTCTAGGTGAATAATTCTATTGTTACTGATTCTACAGACTCTTACACATTATGCTTTTTTTTTTTCTTTAAAGAGAAACAAGTAAAGTGTTTATTAGGAGGAGAAAGACTACGTGTGGATAGACACACGGGCAGACTCGAGAGAGAGAGTCACTGAGTGTGCTTTAATTTTTGACCATGAGTTCATATTTCTTGGAAATTTTTCTAAGGAAATTCTCTGAACGCTTGGATGATTTATGTTTGATTCTGCTAGATGGTTAAAGACATGAAAAGGTCCACTGTATATGACAGTTCTTAGCCTGAGGTTTTTCAAACTACAACAGTTAAGTGTAAATTTAGGTGCTAAACCCACATGAAAATTACCCACTGGCCATGAAATTGCAGAGTTGACTTGAGTTTTAAAAAATTCATCCACTCAGAGCAAAGGTAGGAAGAACACAATTGTTTTTCCTCTATGTGGTTGATTTTTTTCTACTTGATCTTTTTCCTGGCAGTGTAGTCCTTTCTGAATTTTTCCCTAAAGCGGGGGATCTCTGATCTGGCTCCTCACCCCAACCCAAAGTGCCCAACACCCCAGTATTCTAACACACCTAGAAAATGCTATCTGTCTGGCCCATTAACAGAAACAGAGGGGGCTGTGTGGCACGGGGCTCTGGATGTCCAAGGAGTAAAGGAATCAAGCCCTCAGCCGCTCTGTCATCTATTCACAGCACACCTGCACGCCTGCGCAACACAGGATGGCTCTACTCTAGGGCACCCTGATCCTCATGGAGCTCCTAGAACATCTGCTTACCTGCCTACACCCTTTCAAACTGTTGAAAAAAATTTTTTTACCAAGTTAAGAAAAAAAATTTCACCAAGTAGTAAATCTTTGAAGAAATTTTTAGGGGCTGACCTATGCTTGCCAACTTTTTATTTACAAAATAAAGACATTAAAAAAAAATTTTTTTTTTTTTACCACCTGTACCGATATTTCATGAAAGACATTTCAGCACCCAATATTTAAAAAGGTATAAAGAACATTTCAGAATAATACAAAGACCTTTCAATTTAATAATCTGAGCTCTGATCAAGCTAAGGGCTGGCATGGACCTCTGGGCTGGCATTTGAGATTACTGGACTAGACACTAAAGTGAATGGATCTTTCCCTTTCTATCCGTAAAGCAGCTTATTGGAAAACTGGCAAACTGGCTTACTTTACCTTTTCTCACAAGAGACTCCATCGATATCCATGCTCTGGGAACGTGAGAGAGACTGGGACTGCGTTTCAAGGCTATTGGAGGGCGAGCTGCTGAGAGAACTGACTCCCTCACTGCTCTGGCTTCGATGGGCTACTCCTAACCAAGAGAGACATAAAAGAGGAAGTCTCACATGAGATAACATTAAAGTTATTTGTAAAGGCAACAGTAAACACACACAATCGGCATTCATACCATCATGAAAGCTGTCCACTGAGGAATTTCTATCAGTAGACTGTACTGAAGGTCCAAGTGACATTAAAATCATAGCAACATCAGTGAGAAACCAGTTTATCAATAAATATCATACGAGGTCAGTAACAACAGAGCTACATCTGATACCTAAAACTGACTCCTCATCACCTTCTCTTTCATTAATTCAGACGATGGGCCCTGAGTACAAATGAGCTTCCATGACAGTCCAGAAATATCCTTGAAATGGACCAAAAGTAAGATATGTTAATGAATGGACAGGAAGACAGACAGACAGAGGGATGAGTGGTAAAGCAAACAGAGTAAAATGGTAAATGGTAGAATAAAGGTGATAGGTATATAGTAAGTCCCCTACATATGAACACGCTCTGTTCCCAGAGTCCGCTCGTTAAGCCCAGTTTGTTTTTAAGTTCAACAAAGTTAGCCTAACATAACGGGCCATACAGTACTGTACTGTAGTAGATCTGTAATAGTTTTCACACAAAGGATACATAAAACACAAACACAAGAAATAAAACATTTTTAATCTTAACAGTACCTTGAAAAGTACCAGCTACATCACTGCTGCTTTTACGATTGCTTCTAGATATCCTGGGCTTAAATAAAGATAGAGTACTGCTGTGCTCTATACCATACTGTACAGTAAAGTACACAAAAGCACAACCATTTGTGGAGGATGCACACCCGTGACAATGTACACCAGACATGTTAACCAACTTACGTGACTGACATGCAAACTCATGTTTGGCTCTTTGCAAGTTCCCAACTTGAAGGTTTGTGTGTAGGGGACTTACTGTATAAGCATTCACTGCCAAGTTCCTTCTACTTTGCTGGGCACTTCAAATTTTCATAAGATATTGAAAATGTACAAACAGATCCATCTAAGCCATGTCCTTAAATACAGATCAACCCATTTATTGATTGAACATCTTATCTTGCAATAGCTTGGGAAAAACAAACATCCTGCCATCCCTGACCTCACAGAGCCTAGAGTGCAGTGAACCATAGCCAGGCACACAGGGACACAGTGTTTCTATCAAAATCTTCAAACAGGTTTTTCACAGAATTTAAAAATTTACTTTATTTATTTTTTTTTTTATTGGAGTATAGCTGATTTACAATGCTGTGTTAGTCTCAAGTGTACAGTACATTTATTCAGTTATACATATACATATATTAATTCTTTCTGAGATTCTTTTCTCATATAGATTATCACAGAATATTGAGTAGAGTTCCCTGTGCTATGCAGTAGGTCCTTGTAGGTTATTTATCTTTTTTTTTTTTTTTTAATTTATTTATTTATTTATTTTTATCACAACCATAGTGTATCTTTTTTTTTTTTTTTTACATGTATTCCCCATCCCGGTCCCCCCTCCCACCTCCCTCTCCACCCAATCCCTCTGGGTCTTCCCAGTGCACCAGGCCCAAGCACTTGTCTCATGCACCCAACCTGGGCTGGTGAACTGTTTCACCCTAGATAATATACGTGTTTCGATGCTGTTCTCTTGAAACATCCCACCCTCGCCTTCTCCCAGAGTCCACAAGTCTGTTCTATACATCGGAGTCTCTTTTTCTGTTTTGCACATAGGGTTATCGTTACCATCTTTCTAAATTCCATATATATGTGTTAGTATACTGTAATGGTCTTTATCTTTCTGGCTTACTTCGCTCTGTATAATGGGCTCCAGTTTCATCCATCTCATTAGAACTGATTCAAATGAATTCTTTTTAATGGCTGAGTAATATTCCATGGTGTATATGTACCACAGCTTCCTCATCCATTCGTCTGCTGATGGGCATCTAGGTTGCTTCCATGTCCTGGCTATTATAAACAGTGCTGCGATGAACATTGGGGTACACGTGTCTCTTTCAGATCTGGTTTCCTCGGTGTGTATGCCCAGAAGTGGGATTGCTGGGTCATATGGCAGTTCTATTTCCAGCTTTTTAAGAAATCTCCACACTGTTTTCCATAGTGGCTGTACTAATTTGCATTCCCACCAACAGTGTAAGAGGGTTCCCTTTTCTCCACACCCTCTCCAGCATTTATTGCTTGTGGACTTTTGGATAGCAGCCATCCTGACTGGTGTGTAATGGTACCTCATTGTGGTTTTGATTTGCATTTCTCTGATAATGAGTGATGTTGAGCATCTTTTCATGTGTTTGTTAGCCATCTGTATGTCTTCCTTGGAGAAATGTCTGTTCAGTTCTTTGGCCCATTTTTTGATTGGGTCATTTATTTTTCTGGAGTTGAGCTGGAGGAGTTGCTTGTATATTTTTGAGATTAATCCTTTGTCTGTTGCTTCGTTTGCTATTATTTTCTCCCAATCTGAGGGCTGTCTTTTCACCTTGCTTATAGTTTCCTTTGTTGTGCAAAAGCTTTTAAGTTTCATTAGGTCCCATTTGTTTATTTTTGCTTTTATTTCTAAAATTCTGGGATGTGGGTCATAGAGGATCCTGCTGTGATTTATGTCGGAGAGTGTTTTGCCTATGTTCTCCTCTAGGAGTTTTATAGTTTCTGGTCTTACATTTAGATCTTTAATCCATCTTGAGTTTATTTTTGTGTATGGTGTTAGAAAGTGTTCTAGTTTCATTCTTTTACAGGTGGTTGACCAGTTTTCCCAGCACCACTTGTTAAAGAGGTTGTCTTTTTTCCATTGTATATCCTTGCCTCCTTTGTCAAAGATAAGGTGACCATAGGTTCGTGGATTTATCTCTGGGCTTTCTATTCTGTTCCATTGATCTATATTTCTGTCTTTGTGCCAGTACCATACTGTCTTGATGACTGTGGCTTTGTAGTATAGTCTGAAGTCAGGCAGATTGATTCCTCCAGTTCCATTCTTCTTTCTCAGGATTACTTTGGCTATTCGAGGTTTTTTGTATTTCCATACAAATTGTGAAATTATTCGTTCTAGTTCTGTGAAAAATATCATTGGTAGTTTGATAGGGATTGCATTGAATCTGTAGATTGCTTTGGGTAGTATAGCCATTTTGACAATATTGATTCTTCCAATCCATGAACACGGTATATTTCTCCATCTGTTTGTGTCCTCTTTGATTTCTTTCATCAGTGTTTTATAGTTTTCTATGTATAGGTCTTTTGTTTCTTTAGGTAGATATACTCCTAAGTATTTTATTCTTTTTGTTGCAATGGTGAATGGTATTGTTTCCTTAATTTCTCTTTCTGTTTTCTCATTGTTAGTGTATAGGAATGCAAGAGATTTCTGTGTGTTAATTTTATATCCTGCAACTTTACTGTATTCGTTGATTATCTCTAGTAGTTTTCTGGTGGAGTCTTTAGGATTTTCTATGTAGAGGATCATGTCATCTGCAAACAGCGAGAGTTTCACTTCTTCTTTTCCTATCTGGATTCCTTTTACTTCTTTTTCTGCTCTGATTGCTGTGGCCAACACTTCCAAAACTATGTTGAATAGTAGTGGTGAGAGTGGGCACCCTTGTCTTGTTCCTGATTTCAGGGGAAATGCTTTCAGTTTTTCACCATTGAGGGTGATGCTTGCTGTGGGTTTGTCATATATAGCTTTTATTATGTTGAGGTATGTTCCTTCTATTCCTGCTTTCTGGAGAGTTTTAATCATAAATGGATGTTGAATTTTATCAAAGGCTTTTTCTGCATCTATTGAGATAATCATATGGTTTTTATCTTTCAATTTGTTAATGTGGTGTATTACATTGATTGATTTGCGGATATTAAAGAATCCTTGCATTCCTGGGATAAAGCCCACTTGGTCATGATGTATGATTTTTTTAATATGTTGTTGGATTCTGTTTGCTAGAATTTTGTTAAGGATTTTTGCATCTATGTTCATCAGTGATATTGGCCTGTAGTTTTCTTTTTTTGTGGCATCTTTGTCTGGTTTTGGAATTAGGGTGATGGTGGCCTCATAGAATGAGTTTGGAAGTTTACCTTCTTCTGCAATTTTCTGGAAGAGTTTGAATAAGATAGGTGTTAGCTCTTCTCTAAATTTTTGGTAGAATTCAGCTGTGAAGCCATCTGGTCCTGGGCTTTTGTTTGCTGGAAGGTTTCTGATTACAATTTCGATTTCCTTGCTTGTGATGGGTTTGTTAAGAGCTTCTATTTCTTCCTGGTTCAGTTTTGGAAAGCTATATTTCTCTAAGAACTTGTCCATTTCTTCCAAGTTGTCCATTTTATTGGCATAGAGCTGCTGGTAGTAGTCTCTTATGATCCTTTGTATTTCAGTGTTGTCTGTTGTGATCTCTCCATTTTCGTTTCTAATTTTGTTAATTTGGTTCTTCTCCCTTTGTTTCTTAATGAGTCTTGCTAATGGTTTGTCAATTTTGTTTATTTTTTCAAAAAACCAGCTTTTAGCTTTGTTAATTTTTACTATGATCTCTTTAGTTTCTTTTGCATTTATTTCTGCCCTGATTTTTAAGATTTCTTTCCTTCTACTAACCCTGGGGTTCTTCATTTCTTCCTCCTCTAGTTGCTTTAGGTGTAGAGTTAGGTTATTTATTTGACTTTTTTCTTGTTTCTTGAGGTAGGCCTGTAATGCTATGAATCTTCCCCTTAGCACTGCCTTTACAGTGTCCCATAGGTTTTGGGTTGTTGTGTTTTCATTTTCATTCATTTCTATGCATATTTTGATTTCTTTTTTGATTTCTTCTATGATTTGTTGGTTATTCAGAAGCGTGTTGTTTAGCCTCCATATGTTTGAATTTTTAATAATTTTTTTCCTGTAATTAAGATCTAATCTTACAGCACTGTGGTCAGAAAAGATGACTGGAATGATTTCAGTCTTTTTGAATTTACCAAGACTAGATTTATGGCCCAGGATGTGATCTATTCTGGAGAAGGTTCCGTGTGCACTTGAGAAAAAGGTGAAGTTGATTGTTTTGGGGTGAAACGTCCT